GAGTTACAGAAAATATATCACCATTGGGAATTCTTATACGTTTGATAGGCCCAGTATATGCTTTATAACTGTCTAACAAACCTAAATCACTAACCATGTGTGTCGTGGCTCCAGAATCAATAACCCATTTACTATGATTCAATTTAGTGACAAAAAGATCATGCAAACCTGTATTGGTGAGTGCATGGGTGTTGGTTTCTGAATCTTTCTTCAGAATTTCCAGCAATCTTTGTACTGCTCTAGGGTGAAGCTGGGGGATACAAAATCGAAGTGTTAGTAAGAGCCTCTGCTTCTCTTTGTCCACCACTTTGATTCCCTTTGCCTTCTTGATTCTGTCTTCCTTTGTTCCCTTTGTAATCCGAGAGGAATCTAACAATATGCTAATAGTGGTCTCTCGTGTGACCTTTCTTGTGGCAGTGCTCACATTCGGGTAAGGGAGCACCTCTCCCTCTATCTCTTCCTCTTCCTCTTCCCTTCACAGTCATTGCCATTCCTTCACTTGGAATTGCTTTCTCCAGGCTTGTAATGCTTCTCTGTGCTTCATCCTCCAAGACCATCGCATAGGCCTGGTTGACCATTGGAAGGGGCTGTATTAGGAGTATCTAACTCCTGGCATTCGTGTAGGCTTCATTGAATCCCATTAGAAACTGTAGGAGCCTCTACCGCTGAGTTGCTTCATGATATGCTTGAGAAGTGGGACATTTACAAGTTGGGATTGCCATTAAATTTCCCTGTTCTTCCCATAATTCTTTTAGCCGGGAGTAATAGCCCAATATAGAAAGGTCACCCTACTGGAGAGAGTGAATTTCACGGTGGAGAGAAAAAAAAAGGATCCAGAAATCTTGTTAAAGCGCTCCTTGAGGTCTCCCCACGCGGATGATGCATCATCAAAGTACACCAAACTGGTTGCAAGATCCTTAGAGACCAAGCCTAATATCTACAACAGAACAACCGCGTTGCACCTTTCTCAGTGAGCGTGAAACTTCGAATCTTGGTCACTCTTCCTGCAGGAACCGTCGATGAATCCCGTCTTGTTCTTCCCCCGGAGAGCTATCATCATTGCCTTGCTCCATACTGTGTAGTTGTCGCTGCCCGTGAGGATCAATCCAATGATGGACATCCCCTATGTGTCAGATGGGTGAAGAAAGAGAGGGCTTGTGAAATCAATCACCGAATTCACCAATCCCTTTTTTTCCCCCATGAAATTGGTCGCCGTCGTCGATGTTCTTGACTCACTAGGGTTTCTTGGTTCAGCGGCACCAAAAGGAGACAAAAAGCACTGGGTTATCGTGGAGTGGAGATGGAGTTCGGTTCTTGGGTTTCCGGGCAAAAAGAGACAAGGTGCACTAGGTTACCGCGGACTGGAGATAGACTTCGGTTCTTGGATTTCTGGCCAAGTGAATTGGGCTTCATCTGATGGGCTCGAAACATGACCGATGGACCATTCTGAGCTCTAATGCCATGTAAACAATCAGAGAATTTGCGCAACTAAATAATACTATCTATTGAAAAGAATATGACTCCATACAACACCAGTCTGGAAAACACTACCTAAATATAGCTGTCTAACCGAAATAGGCTTAGGAATAAGAAGCAAGCCCAAGCCCAATATAATACAACAGACCCAGACATGGAAAATACACGAATTATTTTTAACAATATACACGTCGTGCCAATTGCTATACTTCCATATATATCACAAACTAACTCTCATTCTCTTCCAATACCCTACCTGTAAGCTCTCCATTTCCGGAAGAACAGCACAAGGACGTACATCTTGAAGTACAAAACAAACACAGCACAGCTTTATTTCTGATTCATTCATATTCAAAGAGGCAGAGAGATGGCTTTCTCTTACAAAAAAATGATGGTGAGGGTGTTATTCATCTTGGCCATTGTGGTTTGAAGTGCAGAAGTAGGATCAGCAATAAGGCCATTCCCAGCTGGCTTCTTGCTGCAGATTCTTAAAAGAGGCCCCGTATTATCCTCTCCTAACCCTTGCAACACTATTCCTGGACGAGGAAGTGGTCATTGTCCCTAAACTTGTTTTCTTCCTTTTCAAGATCGGCAAACTTAACATTCTTCTTGTCGCTTTTGTCCTTATTCAGGGATAGCCCAACACTCCTTTAATCTGCAGATATATGTAATTTAATTCATTCACATACTTTTGCAATGATTTCTTCTATAGAATTTGTAATACTGTCATGGCTTCTGTAATCAGATTCTATAATTTAAGCTAAAATTCCTTCATATGGGTTTTGCTTTTCGTTTGCTCCACTTTATTTCACGGTGGATGCAAGTTTATTTTAAGAAGAAGAATTGTCTGATGAGTGTTAATATAAGTGAGATTTGGCTGATCATAGCAACGTCATTTGTATATAAAAACTATATAAAAAAAGGAGTAAAGGTGTACAAATACTTACAAACTTTTACTCAAAGTGCGTCTACCATCATAACTTTTTTAAGGTACAAAAGTGCCTATAAACTTGCAAAACCATAGTAAAAATGACACCACCATATGAGATGTAGGTAAGATTTGGCTGTTCATAGCAACATCATTTATATATAAAAACTATAAAAAAAAAAAAAGGTTTGAATATTCAGGAGAAGTAGATGGTTAAAACTTAATTTTCATGATGTCTCTTGTCTGACCAGGATAGACTAGTCAAACATGAATCAGAAATCACAGGTCAAGCATGGGATGACGTTGATGGGCTAATTACATGGATTTTGGACAGTTTGACTAATCAATTTGAACTGGCCTTTTCCTTCTGGGGCAATTTCAAACTTAACAAGGAAGACTCATCGTTTTAGTTTTTAAATCCCTCGTTGAATTTTGGCAACCAGCATGTGCTACACACCTTTAATGTTTTCCATTTGTAGAATAACCACTGGTTTCCATGTCTGCTGCGTATACTTGATGCTCCTGTATTTGATTTCTTCACTTAATTTTCAACCTACACAGTCAAGCTTAATCATTAAAAATTAATTGTTAAATGAAGACATTAGTCAAGAAATAGCATGTAGGCCAGTCACCGAAGCAGAAAAATGGAGGCTCTCCATCAATATCTACAAATGCGTGGTTAATTTGCCCCACAAACTTCACAAGCTAGACTACGTACCTGTTCAGACCAGGCTCAAAACGCAAGAGGGTGAATCTGTCTTTGTTCATTTCAGTTTCAGAATCAATATGATGAATTTCTTTGTCTCATGGAAACATAAGCTCTTCAAAGTTGTAATCATTTTCGCCATCTTATTATTTGCTTCTGCATCATTAGGAACAACGAGAGGGAACTGCAACAAGAGGATGTCCTTCTTTTGAGATCGCTGCAACGTGTTACTAAATTAATTGGAGGAGAAGAAGTTCTGGTATCTGTATTTAACTCGCTTCAGATGCTGCTCTATTCATAACAAGCTTTTCACCTTACTTCTCCAGATTATTTAACATTCCTTTAACAAAATTTTGTTACGTATGGATTTCATTTCTTTTTATTTCTACCTGATAATGGGGATGGCACACCAAAGCGTCCAGAAATCAGGTGCCTTTAATCATGTTTTTTTGGAAAAAGAAAAAGAGGGTAGCAATCAATACTGTGCTAGTTCTTTTCTCGGAACGCCATAAAACTCATTAATTTGTGAGAAGAACGTAGTTTAGCTGCAAACTCCCCATGTAAAATGGAGCTAGTTTACAGGCACAAGACATGGAAAGCCATTGCTTGAGATCTTGGACTCAAATCTGAGCTTGGTCTCGACATGTGGGAGGAAAAAAGACAATAAACTGAACTTTGCCCACCCAAATGACGCTTATTTTTTACTTTGGATTTAGTGCCCTCTACGAAAGGAAATGGAAGCTTTTGCTGAGCACATCGGATTGACTCGTCTGTTTGAATCAATTGGTAAACATTAATATGCAACATTGTAAATACCCAGTTTCAGATTTAGCGTTCCTGGCAACTTTCACTCCAAACTCCAAAGTAAATTTTTCTAATCATTTCCTTGCTACATTGAAGAACAAAATAAATGAGATAACATCTTCAGCAACAAAATAAAAGAGAAACTAAACATGGGGTTTCAGTTCTGTATGGTAATAATTGAAAGAAATATTTTGTTGAGTATTTTTTGGACGGCTAGGCACTGTTCCCACCTTATAAGACGCTTTTAGGTAATGTAGACCCCAAATAAGTTAGTTACTGGGCTTTAAATGTGTGTGTGTGTGTGTTTCATGGTCATCCTCATTTAATTAGATGTCTCAGTTAGGAACACATCCAAGTAAGGGCTTTATTGTTTAAAAAAAAAAAAAAGGAAAATCTTATCAACACCTTAAAAGACAAAAAATGCCTTACATTTTTTTAACATGGTACTCCTAAAAAAGCCTTGTATCTTTTTGTGCTTTCTAACTTTCAAAATAATGTTAGGAAACGTGTTTGTAAACATTAAAAAAATTTTCTATCATCGATAGGATCTTGATCGTTCTGCTTCAAAAAATGGATCCAAGGATCCTCGCAGCCTGTACAATCAAAACGCGCGCGCGCGCACAAAAATCACAATTATCGTGCATTTGGTTTTTAAGGGGCAAGTAAAATACCTTGCCTACCAGTCGTTCCTTGGAGGAGTTGATGAACTTTTAGTTTCTTTCTTTCTTTCTTAAATTTTTTGTGAATATATTACTGTTCAAAAATCCAAATTAATGAAAGAGAGCAAAACGGGAACACATTGGCAGGCAGCCACCCTCCACGGTCGCAGGCATCCCCAGCATCCGCAGGCAAGAGTAACCATCACTCTACCGGGGGCGTAGTGATTTGATTGGAGGCTTTTTGTCTTGGCCTCTTGGACTACAACAAGCTATCCAATCAGCACAAATTGATGATAGACGAAGACTGTTGAAGCCACACTACTTGCAGAGGCCTTAAACACCTCATAGAGTAGAATGGCATCATCCGTAATCGATCGTTAAAGTATATCCACAAGGAGGGCAAAATAATATGTGCCCAGTACAACTATTTTCTAGGATAAAATTAAGCAGCATATGATGTAATCCATTTCATTATCCATACAAATATCTGTACTTCAATGTTCACACACTTTATGTTCCTCGTACCCAAAGTACAGATTATCCCCTCCTAATAAAAAAGAAAAATGAACTATACCCTACTCAACATTCAGTAGATACACGTATATACAAATATATCTGCAAATAAGAATGCGAATCAACAACATGATTCCACCAGAATTTCATGAGCATTCCTAAACCTACCAATTCACAGACAAACTGAGCTCAGTACTGTAGTACTAATATCAATGGGGTAATTGAAGGGCAACTTGGTGACTAGAGTTCTCCAAGTCTTCTTCTTGGGGTTATAGATCTGTATAAACAGAGTGCCCGTCCTCTTGTGGTGTCTGGTTCTCCTCCTTGTTTCAGCCATATCAACACTTGAATGCGTCATCACGTACAGCTCCCCACCTAATACTACAAAACCAAATGATGAGTTACGGGGAGCTTTTCTTGGCACACGAGACTCATACAGCCAGCAATTCGAAGACATGTCATATCTGCAAGGAGCATTCAACATTAAGAGTCAGTAAGAATACTAAAACTTCAAAAAGTTTTGGAATTCTAATTTAAAAGAATGTAGGGTACTATCAACATAGCTGCTTGCAAAACTACCGGCACCACTATGTGCGCAAATGGCTCAGAAGAGCGGCAATTAGCACAGCTCAATAAAAGGAGCCTAACAAAAAGAGCAACCAATTCAAGAGCACAGAAATCATATTGGAATTGGATGCCACTTGCACATTTAAGTAATAAGAAGCAACGCTGAAAACCAAAAAGAGCAAAAGAAGGAGGGGAAGGAGGAAACTATTGAAGAACCCAAACACTAGATGGTTACAAGATGAAGGAAATCTAACTCAGATAGATGAAAATAAGGGGTGTTCACAAATACAGAGGAGACTATAAGAATAAAAAAGCAAGCTCAAAGCGACCTTAACTAGCCATAACTAGCCAAGGGAAAACCCGTTCAATGAACACCCCTGTTCTCTTATTGATATAAGTAACTGTTAAGTTTGCCGACTAATACTACAATTTTTGTAATCAAATCTAGGAAAATACAAAAGATTAGCTATTGTTACTTAAAAATATGTACTACCTCCGGTCCTTAATATAAGAACTCGTTTGACTTTTATTTTGATCCTAAATATAAGAACCCAGTCCACTTTGTCTTTCATATTTATTCATTTTTTCCAAAGATAATTCTAGCTAATACACTTGATTAGTAAGGACTTAGAAAAGACAATACCTATTTATTTCAAATAACTAATTTAACTAGTTTTCTTAATCTACTCAAATTAATCAACTAGCTTTAATATTAACGACCGAAGGTAGTATTTACAAGCTTGTAAGAAAGCATCTTTAGCTGGCTTTTTACAAAAGCAACCACAATTAAACTATGCTATGATAAGAGATCAACCTGCCTCAATGGGGGAAAAATTCACAGGTGCTAAGTGCAAACTGATCTATATGATATGCCAGAGTATACACCACATACTATTATTTTGGACGAAACTATAGGCGCAAATGAAGGGTTACATCATTACTTTCAATCAAGCACCGAAATGGCCCAAGGCTCCACAATAAGCTTTTACTCGAATAATTTTATTTTTAATGTAATGATAAAAGTATCATTCAAGCAAAAACAAAAACAAAAAACAAAAGGAGAGCGGAGACTCTCTTTCTATTCAACAATACCAAATCAAATAATATAGCCTCAACTACTCACCATCCTCATATATCTACACTAGAGATCATTCATACGTCTTATTATGAACACTAACTGATCCAAACGAAAATCAGAAGAAGATCAAGCATCAGCAACCAAACATTCAGGCCAAGCACATTGCTTAGTGCAGTTCAAAAACACATACATTTGGGCAGCCAGAAATAAATCAGAAATTGAACTTATAATCCGTTAATTAGAACGAATTGACTATTACTATTAGCCACCATTACGAACGATAACTTAATAATTGTATCCTCACAGTCAAGACACACAAGAGAGACAGAGAGAGAGAGACCGTACCTCAGAATCTCATTCCTATCGAGCATGAAAATGCCGGGACAATCTTGGTTCTCGTCCTCGACAACGACAATCTTTCCGAGCCTCATCCTCTCTCCTTCTTCCCACATGTTCCCAGCCTCTCTCCACTTCCCGTTATCAAACCCATTCTTCAATTCCATCACCACCGCGTCCTTATAATACTCATCGACAGGGAAAACACCCGAAATGGTCCTTGAAGCACCATATCCACCCATCACCCAGAACTCCCTGCTGTCCCCTTTTCGATTCCCAACCAAAAAACCAACGCAACCCGCCCGGTGATTCGTTAAACCATCCATGGCAACCCACTCATCCTTCCCAATATCGTACCTCTCAACGGAACGTATTCGGCTTCCAGCGGCCGCGAACATCGTATGCCTCGACCACCACCGGCCACCAGAATCTGTTGAGAGTCAGGGACGGCGGCACAGGCGAAGCTGCCACGTGGTGAGAGCATAGGGGCAAGGCGTTCCCAGGAGAAATCATAGAAATTGAAACGAAAAGCAGAGGAAGTCGGGGAGGGGCGATCAATCGGAAACGATCGGGTATCGAAAAGGGAGCCTCCGAGTACATAGAGGTAAGGGCCTACGGAAATGGCGGAGAAGTTACAGAGGCCATAGACATGGGGATTACAGGGCATAAGGGGGAGAGGGCACCAAGCGAGGGAGGAAGGGTCAAAGAGAAAAGGGGAAGCTAAGGAAGGGTCCTGAGGGAAGATACAGAGGAGGTGAGAGAGGAGACGGTGGTGACGGCGGAAAGAGATAAAATTTCTGGAGGAAAGGAAGAGGTTCCACGATTTGCAGGTGGGCTTGAGGCGAGCATGGTGAGAGTAAGGGATAAAAGAGAAGATGAGGGCGGCGACGTCGATGGGGAGGCCAGGAATCAAGGTGAGACTTTGATCGATAGCCGGTGGGGGAGTGGGCTGAGGTGGCGAAGGCGGCGGAGGAAGAGATTCGATCATTTGAGATTGGCCCTCGGCCTTCTGACTTGCTCGCCAAGACACAAGACGCTAACTTTCAGGCCCCGCTCACCACGATGCAGACCGGGAATGGCAAATTAGCAATCGGCAGTGTATTACGACTTGCGAGTACAGGGAAAAGGCACTGCTTTCTCTAATGCCTTTATTAAGGATCTATTATTTATATATCTACCAGCCCGCTGGATGCTTCTTATGCTTGGTTTAAGTTAAGTTAGTTAATACTCCATCCGTTCCTTATTATAAGAAACGAATAATTAAATTATATTGATTAAAAAAACAGTTAAAATTAGTTAAGAACAATTAATATGTAAAAAGTATAATTTTTTCCCAAAAATACCCTCATTAATAAGGAGAGAGAACAATGGTAAATTATTAAAAGAAAAAGAAGTGGGAAGGAGAAAGAATGAGTTGGAGACAATAAATATGGATAAAATAAGAAATCAACACAAAAAAGTAGAGACAACATTTAAGTGTCTCTTATATATAGAAACATGCCATAAGCATCAAATGTCTCTTATAATAAGGAACAGAGAGAGTAATAAATAAGTGTTACATTTCTTAAAATATTTTTACTAATCAAGTTTATTGGTTAGAACTATTATTATTAGAAAGACTTTTTTAGAAAAAGATGAATAAATTTGAGAGACAATAGATTGGGGTCTTATATTTAGGACCGGACTAAAAGTCAAATAAGGTCTTATATTAAAGACCGAAAGTGGCATTATTATTTAAAATAAGACTAAGACATAGTTACTCGACAATTGACATGAAACAGCCCAATAGGTTGCACGCCCTTATATTTAATGATGGAGGGATATAGTTCATATTAATGTTAATATTTAATGTAAATAAAAAAAAACTCATAATAAATCATGCTATTCAAATATTAGCTGTTGGTAAAATTTCATAAAATTTAGGGCTATGCGTCTGATTTGTGCTTCACAGAACGACTGTTATATAATCCAGACGACGTTAAGCCCATATCCAATGGTGTGGTGGGCTTCGTTTTTGTGATAGTTTCTATCATTCTTTTAATTAGGAAAATGGCCCACAGCAAACTATGGGGCCCTAATGGACTAGTTGTCTGGGCATGATGGGACCCAATCCTTTTGGGCTTAACATGGTCCCAGATAGGCTCAGAAAACAAACTTGGTCCAAGATGCTTTGCGCGTTTCCCACCTTAAACGATGTAATGACCCAGATATAGCATTAGGTTTATTTTTTTAAAAAAAAAAGATATAACACTAGGGCTGAAATGGAGAATCTCATTTGTTGAATAATACCTGAGATGCATATTCTGGGAAAAAATTGAGACAGATAATGTTTGTTACTCGTACCTTTATTAGTATATAATTCGTCATTTTTTTTAATTTGTATCGAATAGTAAATCTATTCTGCTTCGTTGAAATTATTATCATTTTTTTTTCTTTCTTCTTTTGCGCACCAAACTGAACCTCTTCCCCCAAAATCATTTACAGAGCGCAAATAAAGTGGCATTTAGATGAAGATGAACTCACTATTAATGGACACCACCTTAGTGATGGTACATCTTGAGATCTCTTTAGTATGAAAAGGAAAAAAAAATTAAATTTGGGGGTGGGGGTCGGGTTAAAGATTTGAAATTAATGTTACGGGAGTATGTGGAAGCATTTTCTGTTTAGAGAAAATTGTGGGAATAATAAATACTTGTGTCATCAAACCAATTTTCTACATTTCCTTGACCGTCAATGCATAAACAAAATATAGAACACTCCAAGATGGAATCATCAAATATTACCGACCTCCTTTTCGGACATTCTGTGTTTAATTATTTATTTTAGAAGAAAATATTTTGTTAATTCCGTGTTCAATGTCAAAATGAGCATGTTATAAATAATGCAGAAATTAGATCATTGTCGACTGGTTCAATTCAATTCGATATCATGTTATTTATATAGAAAAGTCCACTAGGCTTCCATTGCATCACCATCCTGAGAAATACAAGTTTATGTTACGCTATTATTGTATTAGACCGATCCAACTCAATGATCAATAATTATCAAAAAAATTATTTATTTAAGTGGTTATCGTAAATATAGTCTGAGGATGTCTTACGTACGCGAACGTAGAGAGAGAGAGAGAGAGAGAGAGAGAGAGATTGAGCCAAGTCGTCAGTGAAGGAAAAGAGTGATAGATAGGGATGAATGTTGCTTTCTTTGCAAACAAAGCCAAGGAAACTTAACACTGTACGATGATGAAACATGTATGTGTTTATTCATTAAAATCAAGAGGAAAATTTGATTAATACAAGACAAGCCAGTTTGGTAGTCCTCCTTTTATTGTCTCTCATTTTTGCTTATTTGTCCCTGTCTTCATGATACTATTCCCTTGTAATTTTGTTGAAGGCCAAGTCCGAAACGACTGGTTCCGATATTAATTATGCGCTTAATAAATAACTAAGCCTATTTCCTAACTAAGCCATCATTAGCACATTGTAATTCTTCCCTCTGCACCAGAACGACGGAATCCATTAATACAAATAAAAACAATAACAACAAAAACAACAATATACTCCCTTTAGACCAATAAGCTGTCCGCTAATATGATAAGCAGTCTCACTCTTATAAGGAGGAGAACAAAAGTTCAAATATATGAAAGCACACTTATTGTAAGGGTTTTAATCTTAAAGCTCCCAACCCGACAAAGATTAATCTTAAGGCCAAAGTAATTTAAAAATACTTTGAGTTATACCCTAGAAAAGTAAATACTCCATTCAATTTTATTTATAAACTTCAATTTTGAAAATCAATGTAGTCTATTTTATAAGTTTCAATTTGAGTTTGTTTTAATATTTAATGTATTTTTTTAAATTTTGTCCTTAATTATTTATTTTTTTCCTTCGTCACATTCTCTCTCATTATATTTCCTCACGCTCTCTTTTATCCTTTCTCTCATTTATTACAAGGACATATTTAAAAATAAAAATATGTTTTTAATGTATTTATTATTTTTAACTAATTTTAACTAATTATTTATTATTCACATATTAGTTATTTGAAATTTATAATAATGATTTACTAGTAGCAACCATGGTGCCATTCCTATCTACCATCCAACTATACTATCATTGGCTTGCATGGATCAGAATCAAGGAGTGTTGTAATTATTCGGGGAAAAAAATACAAGTAAACCAATCAATAAGTAATTCGAAGTTGTTGAGTTAATTTAAACTATTTTTTTCGTGAGTTAACATTAATTAATTGCTATAACAAGCTGTACTATTTATAAATTGTAATTAAACAATGTAATGCAATATGTATATAAGGAAACATGTCTCTATTGTTTTGCCAAAACTGTGTAATGTGATAGATCTTGCGTTGGATCGATTTTCTTAAAAATTATATAATTGTGCAGTGATATACAATCCCTGAGTTTAAAGTTCACAGGGTAGAAGGGAAGCAGCTGCAAATTAACGGGAGGAATTGTCTACTGCCCTCTCTAATGCACGTTATCTATGCCACCCTTCCGTTTAGGCTTCCTTCATTTCTTTACGATTTTTCAACGATTTTATATAAAAATATATATAGCTTATTTATAAGAAAAATCATAAAAAATTGAAAATCATACCATTTCTAACCTATAAGATACCACTTATTTTATATAATTCTCCGTTCCTTAGTATAAGATATAATTAGAAAGTTAATATTGGTTTTATATATAAGACTTATTTCACAAATTTATCAATTTTTTTAATTAATCTTATTGATATTTCCCAAATAATAATCAAATAGGAGAGGAAGGAAGGGAATTGAAAACTATACTTAGGGATTTTAGAAAAAATATATTATATTAACTAATTTAATTAATATTTCTAATATTTAAATTAGTTAATTAAGTCATGCATTAAAGGCAAGAGGAGTAGAATTTAATAATTAAAAAATAAGAAAAAATTTTGGAAAGAAAGGCAAAATAAAGGGCCAGGAAGGAGCACATTTACAGGGACAGCAAACACCCCCCTCTCGATAGGTAACAGTGATGATGAAACGCTGGGGATTTGGATTTTAAAGATTGACAACCTGGCAACCCGTCCTGTCGTTTTTGGTGGAAAGGAAAGGAAAGGAGCTGAGTCTCTTCTCATTGGTACAAACGACGGAAAAAAACCTAATTCTTCCCCAACAAACAACTATATCAGACAATCATGGGAAACAAACACTCACATATAGTAGTGTGTGCGTGTGTGTGAGTATACGGCTCTATGACCTCATTTTAATTTGCTATAACTATATAACTATAGCTAGTTAAGGCTATGAGTTAATTAGTACTGAAGAGGTGATATGATACCAATGCATGTCCACATAATCAAATTAAAGTATGCTAATTCTTATTAATTACCAATCATCAGTTTCTGACTTTGAGATTATACAATACTCATTTGGTCCTTGATTAATATAGGATCAATTATTGAGTTGATCTTGGTCTTAAATATAAGACCTATTTATCAATTTTTCATAAGTTACTCTTATTGATACTCTTTCAATCATAATCAAATAAGAGAGGAAGATAAGGATATTAAAGAAGATTATTATAGTATTTTGGGTAAATATGTTTTTTTTTAATAATTAACTAACATATCTAACTTTTTTAATCTAATTAATTAGTTAAATAGTTTTATATTAATGACGGGAGGAATATTGATTAGTATTTAATTAGTTTATGATATCCAGACAACTAAGGGCCAAAAGTTATAGTATTCGGTGAAACAATGAGATCACGCACAGTAGTATTAACGCCCACAGGAAAACACAAAGCAGCAGGATTACATACATAATATATATATATATATATATAGATAGAGAGAGAGAGAGTACAAACAGGAGCAATGCAATGTACTGTGATAAAAGGGAAGCATGCACCTAATAAAGCTGATAAATAGGCAGGAGATGGAGGCATTATATGAAGTGGAAGTATATATGACAGTGAGTAGCTAAATTTAGTCCAAACTGCAAAATGTTGAAATGAAGACAAGACAAGTATATAAGCTACAAAAAAGGATGATTTATATCACTCTTAAGCAAAGCATAAGGGGGAAGGTTCCCTCCTGTTTCCTCTCCCAAATACGATCCATACAGTAAGTTAAGTGTGTGACTTGATGTCTGTATTGATTTTTTCTGTCTCCAGTTCCCAATGTCATTCCCAGATACGCAACGTACAAGATCTCTCTCTCTCTCTCTATATATATATATATTCGATAACGTTTTTGACTTTGTACGTATAGTAAATCGGCTTTTTGTATATATGCAGGAGCAGTGAAACCCTCTCGAGATCGATAAAAGAAAATTACTCCAAGTTAATTATTCCTGCATGCCGAGGAGCCTCTGTAATCCTTCGAACCATGGCGGGGGCTCTAACTAACTCTATAATTAGATGCGTTTGTATGTGTGTACCCTTTAGATTAGTTGTTGATGCAGCCAAAAAAAAAAGATACTTCATCTTTAATATAAAAACTAATTAACTAATTTGAGTAGATTAAAAAAAAACTAGTTAAGTTAACTATTTGTAATAAATAGATATTGTGTCTTTCCTAAAATATCCTTATTAATCAAGTGTATTAGCTAGAACTACCTCAAAAAAATAAATAAATATTATAGACAAAGTGGATTAAGATACTATATTTAAGACCAAAATAAAAATTAAACAAACTCTTATATTAAAGACCAGATGTATATATGTTAGTATATATCTACATGTGGGAGAAAGTGAGGGTAATTGATATATATATATATATATATATATATATCACATTTTGAAGCTGATATATATAGTTATGATTAATATAATCTTTGGTCTCTCAAGTTTCAAATAGCAAGTTTTGGTCATTAAAAGGTAAAATAATCCAAATTTTAATAAGTTATAGGAATTAATATTTTAAATAAAAAGAAACTTAAGGGACCAAATCTATGGTTTGAAATTTGAAAGATCAAAACTAAAATAAATACAAATTTAAGAAACTAAAAATTATATTAATTCGTTCATTCAATTACTCACAAAACTTACCTTCGTATGTGCTGTGCTTTCTCTTCTTGAGAAAACTATCTAGTCGGGGGGCATTTTTGTTTGGTGTTAAAACAAGACAACTTGGACGGTTATAGATAATTAATTATTATTTCGAGCGTCTCTTATGAGAAATGCATTCACATCTCCTGTCTATGAGTTTTTTGGTGATATGAACATAAAGATTTGTTTATAATTATTCCCGTGAAAGAATATTCATTTTTTTTAATATTTAGAGGTAAATTTTATGTGTAAACAAATAAATGTTTTATTCTTTCAAATGTCTTTCTCAATAATTTTATTACTACTCTTTGTGATGTAATACACCGAAATAAAATGTTGGTTTAATGTAATTTTCAGTCTCTCAAGTTTGCCCTCATTTTGGTTTTAGTCCTTTAAGTTTCAAATAATAGGGTTTGATCTCTCAAGAGGCAAAATGGTCCGGGTATTTATTAGATTATAGGAACCAAGTTATAAATGAAAAAATTGAGGAATTAGAACCAATGATTTGAAACTTGAGGGGGCAAAATCAAAATAAAAACAAACTTGAAGGGTCAAAAATTATATTAATCCTAAAATTTTAATAAAGACACCCATGATTAGCGAGTCGAGTGATACCGTGATTCCGTGAATTAATAGTCATATTGGGAAAATTAAAGTGGGGAACAATATTTACTAAAAGTAGGACAAGACTTGATGTGGGGGTTTTTTAAGCCTTATTATTTACTATCAATTTTGATTACTTCATCTATTATCGCAGCAACTTACACAGATTTTTCTAATTGAAATAAACCTTATCAGTACATACGTATATACATAGAGAGAACACACACACACACACTGTTATATGTCAACAGGAAATGCAAATAAAGGCTTGCGTACGTAAGGGAGAAGCTATAATGGGGGACAAACAATAATAAAGAATAGAGATAGCAATAGTATAAATTATTTTTTGTCTTATATATAGTGAGAGGAATCCTCAGCCGGCTATTCCCCAATTAATAACCAAAATACTTCTAACAATTAATACCACTCTTGCCTTTATTATTTGTCACCTGTATGAGGAGATTTTGATCCATTTTATTGGTTACCTGTATCATTTTTAATGCTTCATTTTCAATTTTGCTTATATTAATTATAGTAAAAGTGGAGAGAGAGAGGGAATGGATGAGAGAAATATACTAATATTTAATGCTTTTTTAATAAAGACAAAAATAAAAAAAATTATTTACTTAATGCTTTTCTTCTTGATATGTAAAAAAAAAATTTTATATGTGACAAATAATAACAACCAAACATATATATACACATAGAATTAGTTTTGATGCTCATCACCTTGATAAGTACTCTAAACTTATCAAATTTGGACTGTTTATATCTGATTTGAATATTTCATATTTAAAATTTTTAATTATTTATTTTTAAATAGAAAAAACTATTTTTTAAAAGAATGATAGTTAAGAAATTACTTTTACTTTATATTCTATTCATATTTAAATAATTATTTTGAATAAATAAAAAAATAAATCTAGACCGTTAGATCTGATGAGTTTATGGCGCTTATTTAAAAACGAAGGTAATTCCATATAAACACACACCTCCCACTTGTAACCAAACTTACAATATAATAAAACTTTTCTCCTTGCCTCGGCCCTCCACCTTTTACTTGACTCTCCAGTCTTCATAGCTAAATAGCTTATTCAATTCCTGTGCTGTGCCCTTAGTTTGTCTATATTCCCTCATCTTTCTTCTATATTAATAAACGCACCCCCTCCTCCCTCCATCCCTCTCTCTCTCTCTCGATTACTAAATATATCTCATAGGAAGCCAGAATGGAGTTCAGGTACCCAGAAGAGTCAAAGAGCTGGAGCGAAGAAATCGATGATCGATCGGAGCATAATGATGAAAGGGCAAGTGGAAGATGCTACGAGTGTGTGTTCTGCAAGAGAGGATTCACCACAGCACAGGCTCTAGGCGGACACATGAATATTCACAGGAAAGATAGAGCCAAGTCCAGCAATAAGCCCAGTTTTGCTGCTTCCACTTCATCCAAACTGCTTGACGACCATGAGACGCTCGACCATGCAATTTCAAGTTTTCCACCTCCCAGTTACTTTTCTCCTGAGGTAGATCACATCAGCAGCAATTATAATTGCCCTCCGTCCCAATTTTCTTTTCCTGCGGCACAGTACAGTGATCAAATGGATCGGGATGCGTTTGGAGGAGATTATAATTGGAGAACGGGTTTGAGTTTGTCTAATCCACCATATGTGCGTGATAATAAAGAGAAGATAGGAGGTAGCAGTGAAGAAGATGGTCTGGATTTGGAGCTTCGATTGGGTTATCATTCCTAACATGCACACAAATATTCTATTTCTACCGGTCAAATCCAGAGTATAGAAGCCAGAGAGCTGTTACGCCTATATATATCCATAATTGTACAGCTTCAAATCTGTCATGCCTGTGTCTGGTTTCTGAAATCAACTGAAGGCGAGAAGGCGAGGAGAAGATGGTGGTTAGCTATATATATATTAGCTAGCACGTCTATGATCTATATATCTCCTTGATTAGTGCATGCAAATGCATAGAGATAGATGGCCTGGAGGTTAGAAGCTGTTGAGCGATTTGCCTAAAGCTGATTTAGGGCTTTTTCATCGATGATCTCAAGGTTCCGCTGATGATGGTAACTACTAGATATTCAAATTTCTCCGCGTAAATCCTTTTATGTTTCTTCATTGCTCCTCTCTCTTTCTATACCCTCCCTTCCCCTCTGGCTCAATTTTCTGTATGCAGCTTCCTGAGGACAGTGATCAGGCTAATCATATTGTCACTTATACAGTTTTGGAGGTTTAATTCAGCTATATTATGCTTCATTTCTTTGTCCTTTCCACCAATGGATCTGTGCCTTTAAACGTATTTGAATATATTTATAGCATAATTAAGGAGTTAATTTTCAAAATTTATATGTGGGAAGCATAATTAAAGTGTTAGTGTTTGACATTTATAAACCTAATTCCTGCCATGAAAATAGGCAGTGGTTTTGGATGCATCCAACGGTATATGGCCACGCCAATGAACTTGAGCAAATTGCAAAAATTTATGTAGTTTAAAGAGAAATATTTGCTTTCATTGGTTTTTCATATATAGAACATATCATTTTCAAGAAAATGCGTTGCACATGGTTGTCTTGATCAAATATAGACCTTCGTTTTTGGCTGCTTTATATATAAAATTTCAGAGAATGAGTTAATGGTACCAATTCTTAATTGATGATATTTACACATGTGCGCGCGCGCGCACAAAAATTACATATTGCTTATGATGAATTGTAATATTGCTGTGAATACTGGTGTCCTTTCCTGTGTGTTTAATTCAACATATATATATATATATATATATATAGGCGTAGGCAAAAGCAACATTTTGTTGTTTTATTTGCCTAGATATGCTAATTAATTAATATGGCTAAACAACGGGTTAGTTAGAAATGTCACATTCTCCTGGCAATATAGAAGTTGTATATATAGGAAGACCAGCTAGATTCTCTCGTTGATTATACCGAAAATGTGTATTATAATTACTGGAGAGACTAATGATATTAATAATGAGTTGGTTTAATACATGAGATCATATAGCTACGTGAATAATTATTTGAAAATAAAGAGAGAAAAGTAAGAGAGGGAGATATGGTTGCATTACACCTAAACGTATTTTAAAAGGCTGAGCAGCGCAGGCCGCGGACGGAGGCATATGGATGCTTCTTTCTAACGAATGACGCATATCCTTCTCAGTCGTCCCCCCCTCTTTCATATTTTAAACGTCTATGAATTTTTTGGCGATTCGATAGTTAATGCGACTGTGGTATTTGCTGTATAACTAACCCATCGATGGTCCCCATAACTTTCTTGGATAGCAGTTTGTTTTTATTGTCGTGCTTACAATGCAATAATTTGACTAAGACAAGTCATCACGAGAATCCATGAAGCAAAGATAATGGGGGCCGCAGGTCCACACTTAGCTTCCATGGACAGGAGGAAATTAAAATGCGACAGGTTTGTCCACCGGGAAGCTTATGAATCAAGATACTATGGCAATGCTTATATGGAATAAACGACAGAAACTGATTGATTGTTCCACTTATTGAAAAATGATTAATTAAGATGAGGCAAGAGAGGGTGATAGGTGACGTAGGTAATGATGTAAAATACTACCTCTGATCTTTAATATAAAAGTTAGTTTGACTTTTAATTTGACTATAAATATAAGACTTCAATTCACTTTATCTCATATTTATCTATTTTTTCTTAAAATAATCCTTGTAGTAGTTGTACGTCTTAAATATTTCATCAAATTATAGTTCTAGCTAACACACATGATTAATAGGATATTTTAAGGAAGACAACACCTATTTATTACTGATAACTAACTTAACTAATTTTTTTAATCTACTCATATTAGTCAACTAAGTTTTGTATTAGAGACAGGAGGTAGTATATGGGAATAGAAAGCAGTAGGAGAAATGGGATTGTCAATACTTAATCGACCCAATACGGGGACTCGCTTGTCCTAAGATTCCTTCCTCTGCACCCCTCATCGGAGGCTGACACAAAATATAAAATTGTGGAGAGTCAGTAATGAACTGATTAACGTCTATTGACGAATAAAATGAAGCCAAAAAGGGAGGGACGAGGGGTAGCTTTTGTGTGAAGGATAGATAACACCCACCGACCTGCTGCATTGTGAAGCAACAAGTTTCTGAAACGAATGGATCGATCCCGACAAAACCATCTCCCGCCATTTTTGTTCCTCAAATAAATTGCCTTCCCTCATAATTCTCCTCATTCAAACCCATTCCACCCTTCCCAGTTCCCCACATCAATTATTATCGGCAAACCACACCCGGGCCTTGTTAGACTTGGCCCAATAAACAATTCCAATGCAAAAACAAAATGGAAATCTTCATAAATTAAGCACTGAAAAGCCATGGTCTGGCCAATTCTCCAGACAATGATTTATTTCTACTATGTCAATGACCCAATATGAAAACGTTTCGATCTTCAAATTTTCATTTAATGGAACGCCCATGATTATAATCATGAATAGATTGTAGGGTCTCTCTCATCGTCATTAAGAATTATAGGAAGAGCAATTTGATTATCATCTGGTCAAGTTATTCAGACTTCTCCCAGCATTACCTTCACATAAAAATTCAAGGGAAATTCGTGTTTTAGTTATCTGGACATGATCCTGCTCCTAAGCATCTTGAGATTCAGTCACCATTACAACCATGAAATCGTTTATCTACATGAAATGAACTTTTAAATTTAAACTCCCGCATGCAACAAGAAATTCTACTCTGATTCTAATTTTCCCAAAAAGTAGCGTGTGGTACGAAGATGGCTTATAAGGGGGGGAAATGGGGGAACTGCTCGACCATCCACTGATCTACCATGACTGACTCCAGATTTTACAGATGTCATGCGTTGGACCCTTGAGGGACCTGTCGCACTTCCAAGTTCCAACATTGCAAACGAGTAACCCAACGAGATCTATTATATTGCTCTTCCTAAAAAAATCCTTGAGGGCTAAAGGACAGGCAAACAACTGTTGATACTTTTTTCTCTTCGGCCAACAATTATTAACACTCAATCTACCGAGCAGGGGTCACCAAGGCTGGACAATAAACTCGAGTCACCAATAAAAATGCAGGAGACGTTTGAAAAGCTGCTCAATTCTTTCAAAGATCTATGGTTCAATCAGAAAAGGTGACAACAAAAAGCAAACGAAGTATGAACATTGCTCTTCGCGTTCAATACCTGTTTGTATTATCAAAATCTTTATACAAACACAGCGGAGTATCTTTACTAGTAAGGGTAATTACAGTAAAATTAACAACAGCTCCTTCTCAATCCTAATGCAGATGACAGTTACCTAGTTAGATAGTATACTATAAGAAAAACTACAACAAATGACACCACAAGTGTGAACATTCTCCGGCTTGATTTTGTCTCGAATACCTGAAAAGAAGATATGAGATCATCAAAATTCAAAACCTTTATCTCAAACCCTCATTCCTTTTATTCCCAACAACAGCAGCAAAAGAGGAGGAAGAAGAGGAGCAGAATTAAATAATGTGTATAAAGAGGAACTGCAAGAAGAATCAATCATTCAAAAGGCATAAATGAATTTTAGACGATACCATTTTAAATTTGTCCATAGTGCCTGAAAGGATTCCTCTTGATGCATCCATATCATTGCCCTAAATCAGTACCAAAAAATTATACTACAGCAGAACAAAGAAAGTAACAGAGCAAACATCTAACTAGGTTTCAACTTCCAACAGTTGCAGCATACACACCATTCGGTCCAGCATACGGTTATGGTTATCCACCTCCTCATTTATATCACCTGACAACTGTTGCAATCATGACCATTAAAAAGAATAAGTCCAGTTAATATTTAGCTAAACATTCTTAAATCATCTACAAAAATGAATGCTAATCATATCTGTACGAAATACCAGTTGACTTGCCATATGTTAAACATTTTGAAAGGTCCACAAGAACCAGATAGAGATAGAGCTCTCATCCAAAATGGACGACGCCTCTTATCAACCGTGATAAACTTACTCTTTTTAGAAGATTGACTCTATCTTGCAATCCATCCAGTGCTGTTTCATTGTCATGTTCATCAATTTCATGGGAAGAGTACGAGGATGATGCCCTGATACCACCCTCTTCAATGCCATCAAAAAGGGCAACCCTGTTGTTTCGGAGATCCCTGCAAGGATTTTTTTTGGGGGAAAAAAAAGCATAAAACCCACAACGGCCAGAAAACAAGCAAATTATATAAACAACATAAATTTCTTTCTAGCTACTTAAACCATTTAACTGCTATAAACTGAGCCAATATCTCCATTACAACATAAAACATAAAACTCATGAGAGAATATGCTGAGAGAATTAGCTCTAGACAAATTTTCAGTCTTAAGATAAAAATCCTGATGAGCTCAACAACTATTTATGGTTTCCAGTAGTCATGTTGAAAGTGTTCTTAAAAAACTATTTCTTGAGAGCACAAGTAATAGCAAAGATATGACATGCCCCAAGTCCAACAAAGATGCACTCAGTTCTCGCATTTGGAAGGCTGCCAGTGCGCACATGTCCTACCCATTACTCACAATACAGGCCTTACACAGCTAGACAATGTCCCAAGGTCTGTGCGCCCATTTATGCGAAGTCCCATGGCATGGACTTTGAACAAAGACTCAGGCAGTGAAATCCTTGAAAAAGAAGTAATCCGCTGAATAATAGAGTTCGGTTGCAACCAGAGGAGTTTAACAAAGAATAATGAGTCACCAGCTCACATTTGGTTCTACCAGGATGAGATTAGAGGGACAGGACTGAATGAAGAAAATTACCCCGTTGCACAGGACAGAAAGCGATTAACTGAACTGGAAGGCAAATTAAAAATTAAAAAAGAAGAAAAGTAATTTTGTAATGGGTCTCATACATCAAAGACAGCTTGCCTTTACAAATTAGACCATGGTAACGACACAGAGAGAGAGAGAGAGTGAGAGCGCTTACACCACATCTTTGTTTGAAAATTCGCACATTGCTAAATCCATTTTAGAGAAACCTTAACAAATTTTAGCAAATTCGTCCTCAACCTCATTCTTGTTCGCACCATAACAAGCTAGACCAACCAACTGAAACCAGTTAAATCAGAGATATTTTTCTTTCGAAATAACAAACGGCATATTTACCATCAATAATCGACATGGAACCGATAGCCCAGTCATCAGATCAACAATGACTGGAACAACAACTGGAAGACGCAACGAACAGTGAATTTGGAAAGGATATCGACATTAACACCCTATCTAGATTTTACAAAACAGAATTTCAGTCCAACCGAGCAATCCGAAGTGTATGACCAAAAATTTAGATAGAATCAGAGTTGTGAAATTGCTATTTGCTAATCAATCATGGTAAAATTGTCATCGGATGGAAATCCAAACTATGGCCCAGGGATCCAAATTACCAATAGCGGCCCAACAAATCGAATGATGAAAAGTCTACTTCAGGAAATAAATCCACAGATCGATGCATTGGAAACAGGCCACCAACATAGATCGAATCTTCGGGGAAAAAACTATTACTCCAACAATAAAGGTAAGTATAAATCAATAATTCACACTAACCTCCTAGAATTCATGGCTGACAATATTACCGATACGATGAGTGCTCGCAATTACCCGATCGTCCACTCTGTATACAGGAAAAGAGTTTTCACATGTAATTCACCAAAAATTCTCACGATGAAATAGAAATCACAACGGGAAGCAAATGAACGAAGAACAAACACACAAACTATCGAATAATGCAATAAATATGATGAACAAAAATCAGATCTGATGAATTTTTGAATGATGAAATAGAGCTAAGAAGGAACAAGGAAATTCTATCGCGAACGCCAACCTTAGGAAAGGAAGGAAGGAGATTATCTTTTCCGAGCAACACGTATGAAGCAGAGAGACGAAACAGAGAAGTAACGGAAATTTATAGAGTGCGCAACCTGACGAGTGTTGCTCAGGGGGCTAAGAAAGAAGGAGCAACGCGGTCATACAGGATTACTTAACCCTTTTTCGCCTCTACTGGCCCCACTAATGATTTCAATTTCCATCTGCACTGTCGGTTCGGCTCCGCGCTCCTGATACCGTCCATCCACTGCGCGGTAAAAAAAAAAAAGGGGAAATTTCACTGTAAGACCATAGAAGACAATTAATATCAAAGAGCTCCAAAACTTTCGGAAACCTCACTGCAGGATCAAGGGACCAATCTGATATTAATTTTTAGAGTGAGATTACAATAATACCCCTCTCTTTTTATTTTATTAAAAAATAAATATTTACCGGAGTTACTGTTCCGGTCACCGGAGGTCGGAGGTCCAACCACCGGTGCTCAAGTGGCCGCCGTCGGGGTCCGGTCACCAGTGGCCGGAACAGTAACTCCGGCGGGACCTCCGATGGCCGGAGTTTTTTTGTTTAAAACAAAGTGGTCAAGGGAGGGTTTGAACTCAGGACCCCTTGGCACACCAAAAGACTTGAAACCACCAAGCCAAGCAACCCATTCAATCATAAAATGCAAATAAAACTATATATGACAAAATAAACGCAACAGTCCAAATGTAAGTGAACAAGTGAAATTAGACGATTTACAAGTGGAATTCAGAAATTTGCAACAAAAATTAGGCAATTTACAAATAACAAAATAGAAGTCATAACCCAAAATGCAAGTATTTAAGTGCAAATGAGCAAGTAAGATTTGAAGATTTACAATAAAAGTTTATGGATTTACAACCCAAATTTGGTAAACACAAGAGAATTCACAACCCAAAATGTAAGTGTTTGAGTGCAAGTGAACAAGTGAAATTAGACGATTTACAAGTGGAATTCAGCAATTTACAACAAAAATTAGACAATTTACAAATAACATAATGGAACTCACAATCCCAAATACAAGTGTTTAAGTGTAAATGAGCAATTAAAATTTGAAGATTTACAACAAAAGTTTATAGATTTGCAAGTGAAATTCGACAATTTCACTTGCTCATTTGCATTTAAACACTTACATTTGGAGTTATGACTTCTATTATGTTATTTGTAAATTGCTGAATTCCACTTGTAAATCGTCTAATTTCACTTGTTCACTTACACTCAAATACTTACATTTTGGGTTGTGAATTCTCTTATGTTTACCAAATTTGGGTTGTAAATCCATAAAATTTTATTGTAAATCTTCAAATTTCACTTGGTCATTTGCACTTAAACACTTGCATTTTGGGTTATGATTTCTATTATGTTATTTGTAAATTGCCTAATTTTTGTTGTAAATTGCTGAATTCCACTTGTAAATCGTCTAATTTCACTTATTCACTTACACTCAAACACTTACATTTTGGGTTGTGAATTCTCTTGTGTTTACCAAATTTGGGTTGTAAATCCATAAAATTTTATTGTAAATCTTCAAATTTCACTTGCTCATTTGCACTTAAACACTTACATTTGGGGTTATGACTTCTATTATGTTATTTGTAAATTGCCTAATTTTTGTTGTAAATTGCTGAATTCCACTTGTAAATCGTCTAATTTCACTTGTTCACTTACACTCAAACACTTACATTTTGGGTTGTGAATTCTCTTGTGTTTACCAAATTTGGGTTGTAAATCCATAAACTTTTATTGTAAATCTTCAAATTTTACTTGCTCATTTGCACTTAAATACTTGCATTTTAGGTTATGACTTCTATTATATTATTTGTAATTGCCTAATTTTGTTGCAAATTTCTGAATTCCACTTGTAAATCATCTAATCTCACTTGTTCACTTACATTTGGACTGTTGCATTTATTTTGTCATATATAGTTTTATTTGCATTTTATGATTGAATGGGTTGCTTGGCTTGGTGGTTTCAAGTCTTTTAGTGTGCCAAGGGGTCCTAGGTTCAAACCCTCCCTTGGCCACTTTGTTTTAAACAAAAAAACTCCGGCCACCGGAGGTCCCGCCGAAGTTACTGTTCCGGCCACCGTGACCGGACCCCGACGGCGGCCACTTGAGTGCCGGTGGCCGGACCTCTGACCTCCGGTGGCCAGAACAGTAACTCCGGTAATATTATTTTTTAATAAAATAAAAGGAAGGGGTATTATTGTAATCTCACTCTAAAAATTAATATCAGATTGGTCCCTTGGTCCTGCAGTGAGGTTTCAGAAAGTTTTGGGGCTCTTTGATATTAATTGTCTTCTGCGGTCCTACAGTGAAATTCCCCAAAAAAAAAATTGGCTGCTCAGAAAAAACTCAAGACAAAATTTCTACATACTTATTTTATATAGGATTAATTAATTTGCAAGTCTTTATAATTTTAATCAATTTTGAATCAGGTCCTTATAGTTTTTTTCTTTTTATTAAGTCCTTATTCTTTCACATGTTTTTAATTAGGTCCTTGCATTTTTTTTTATAAAGTCCTTATAATTTTCCTAAATTCTTAATCAGGTCCATGTTGTTTTAATTTTTATTTATTACTTAAATATAAACTTAATTAAATAGATTACTGAAATATAAAATATTAATAATTAAATTAAATTGATATAAGTAATATAATTAATTAATTCAGGAAATTTTTTTAAAACAATTAATATTTTCTTGCTGGAAAAAAATAAAATTATTATAATAATTCATTATTTTTAGGATGTTATTGTTTATAAACTAATATTAAATAATATATACTATTTTATGATTATAGAATAATATTATTAGAATTCATAAAATAAAGAGTAAAAAATTCAGGGACTTAATTAAAAACGAGAGGAACTTATAAAGACTTGATAAAAAGAAAAATAAATACAAGGACCTAATTAAAAATTTGTGAAAGTATAAGGACCTAATAAAAAGAAATAAAACTATAAGGACCTGATTCAAAATCAGTTAAAACTATAGGGACTTATAGATTAATTATCCCTTTTATATATTATAATATTTTTTAAAAAATTATAGGTTAGTCTTTATTCAAACGCTCTCCTGATATTAAGTGTTTGGAATATAGTTTTTCACAAATAATTTTATGCTATTCAAAAAATCAGTATGTGAAAAAAAATTTATTTTAATTTGCATGAACTTTACATTAAATGTGTTTTTATAAATTTTAAATTTTATATGGATAACATAAATTTATTATTTGTGAAAAGTAATTAGTAACTATGGTATTGACTGTATTAGCTCTGGTCTATTTTGATAATATGAAATATTTATACTACGTCAGGTTCTTAATATAAAAGTTAATTTAACTTTCAATCTAATCCTATATATAAGACCATAATTTACTTTATCTATCATATTTATTTATTTTTTTAAAATAATTCTTGTAATAGTTGCATAAGTTAAAAATTCTATCAAGTAATAATAGCTAGCTAATACACATGATTAATAAGGATATTCTAAAGAAGAAACTCCTATTTATTACAAATAACTAATTTAATAAACTTTTTTAATATATTCAAATTAATCAACTAACTTTTATATCAAGAACCAGAGATATAGTGTATAACATATGAGGTGCCCGGCAACTATATTAGCAATCATTCTTTTAATACCACTTCAAATCTTTAATATAAAAGCTAATTAACTAATTTGAGTAGATTAAAAAATTAATTAAGTTAGTTATTACAATAAATATGTGTTATCTTCTCGAAAATATTCTTGTCAATCATGTATTAGTTAGAACTAGAACTATATCCGATAAAACTTTTAATATGTGCAACTACTATAAGGACTGTATTAGAAAAAATAGATAATATAAGAAATAAAATAAATTAAGATGTTATATTTATACTTAAATTAGCTTTTTTAATTAAGAATTGGAGGCATTATTAACTTTCATCTGGCCCTCAAGTTACCGCCTAGGACCGCCATTTACCAGCCATGGTAATAATTTTTGGATGGATTATGGAATAGAAGAAATCTCCTGACGTGGTTTTCCTCCAGCAATCGTATTTGCGGATTTCAACTGGTCTCGTAAACTCGTAGTTTTTAATTTTACCTAGTACATTTAGTATTTAATATGAAATCTAGTTGAGTTATTTTGGAAAAACTAAAAAAATTAAATAAAATTACTCTAAAAAAATTATATTTATAGTGTTTCTTCAAATTAAGCTGTTTGGTTTATAAACGAATATATAATCTAATTAAAAAAGTCATGTAATATATGTTATAACTAATTTTATAATTTTATTAATTTATTTAAATTAGTTAATTGAGTCTTATAAATACGGGAGATAATGCAATTTTCCAAGTTTTACTGCTTACATGTTCAATTTCCATAGCTGCTTCTGCTTTCATACCCGTAGAAATGTTTTTTAAGTCTTTAGTTGACGGAAAGATTCAAAGATTATGGACACACAAGCTTGTTATTAGGGGTGAATGGATTTAGCGTGACCGGAAAACTCTCTAGACAAAATCTGGTATTTTCAAACTTGCGGAAACCACAATCTTGTCTCAGTTATAAAAAATTATCGTTATGGGTAAAACGTAATCGCACCATACACGATAAAATGGCTGTTGATGATGTTAGGAATAGTTTTCATAGGGAGTGGCAGGTTCTTATTCTTCATAATGCTAGAGAAAACCTTTCCATTGTTGATTATCTGGTAAAAGCTTCTTATGCGACGGAAGCTAACTTTTATATCCTTAATCCTATTAAAAGGTGGATTTTGATGGAGGCGGCTAGTTTTTGTACTGTTCTGATTAACGAGTAAGTTTTCAGTTTTTATTCGAGAAAAAAGAGGGCAGCTCAATTTTATCTGTTATATTCATCTTTTACCTGAAACTCCATATTTCAATACGCGCTTTGTGCATCATTGAATACCTGAGAAAGAGTGTTCGAAGTAATAGCACAAAGAAAAAAACAACAGAAAATCTGCTTTTGGCTGTGACGGTCATTTTGTGATGTCATAGGATTGTATTTAAAATCTGCCTTAAGCAAAGCTTTGAGTTCGACATGGTTGAGAAAACAGGCATGCCTTAAGCCATGTTAATTCCAAAATAAATCATTCTCTGTCGATAGGCATTCATAACACAATCGACTGTTAAGTAAGCCAACTTATATTTCAACCTAATGCCACATCCAATGCCAAATCCTGACCCTGGCTTGCGCTTTCTCATTCCTGGATTTCCTGCGATATTCTCATTTTAATAAGATGGTTCTTATAACCAAACCATCAGACCCAATATTCTCACCAAACATATATTAATGTTTGTTCCTAGATTAAAACTCACCAGGAACCCTGCGGCCACTCCTCAAGTCAGATCCACAGTCCAGAAAAACAACTCCTTCTGATCCTTTGTTCTTCACAGAGCAATTGGAAAAAAAAAAAAAAAGAAGTCAACCTGATATGACTATGACTCTTGTTTCTGTGGAATATTTAAACGAAAAATTGATCTATACCCATGGGAAAGTCAGTTCATTCCTAGAAACGATACATGATTGTCCTGAACCAACTGCACCTTCACCATAGCCTCGAACACTATCAGGGCCTCCAATTGCAAATGCTAAATGAGGAGCGATGGATCCCACAATTGACCCACCTGTTACTCTGTTAAACAAAACTGGAAGAATCAATACAAAAGAATAATGTGTTGTGTTGAACGTGAAGGGTGGTTATCTATGTTCAACTCACCTTGTGGAGAAAAATGCTGGCCCAAGTTTGAGTCCTCTTGAAGCAACAAATTTGAGCCGATTGAAGGTTAGCAAGTTGGTATGGAATGGAATCCCTTGTTCCATTTGTAAACTCAACTGAATATGAACATGAAGTAACTTGCAGTTAGTGAAATGGAATTTTATTTGAATATAATATCCGCCAAACTATGAGCATATCTTACATAAGAAAATCGGTCATTGGTTATTCGTTCATACTTAGATTCTTGCTTGATAACTATCATGTTGTCCGATGAATCTCCACTGCATTATACGAGATGATAAAAAGAAGCTGAAAATACCGAAACAGATTGTATGAATACAGAGATTAATGAAGTTTGAGCAACCTGAAGGACACAGGAAAACCATCTAGGTCCTTGCTAATAGAACGGCCACCATCATTCGTGAAATGGATATGCTGTATTGCGGAAACAAAAAGAACAGAACTTTCAATTCAATTAGATGCACGAACTGACATGGAACGTGATTAAGGAACATTATGAACTCCCCAAAACCTTAAAATTAACGCTGGTTGTATTGCTCCAATCAGAGGTCGAAGAAGATTCATCCATGTAGTGAAAGCCTACGGACAACGTGGAGGACCTGACATTTCCACTTGCAGAATGAGAAAATTTGTGCTTGGGAACGCCGTGAATCCGCACTTCCGGCGACATTTCATGCTGAACATGAAATACTAATTAAATAGAAGTTGTTGTTATAATTCTACAGTCTAAGCCTGAGCTAGATGAAGCAGTAAATCTATAAATGCAAATACAATAACCTTAAGGGTCAAACAAGGCTGGCCAACATATATGGGAAGAGGCCTCTTAAATGCTATCAGGAGGTTTGAATCATGCAGGCCCATGTGCCACGACATGTCAAGCATTTCGCTTCTGCCCAGTAGGTTATTGTGCTTCACACAGAATCTGCAATAAATTAACCAAACCAACTAGTTTCTGCGTCATTGAAATAAGAGAGAAGCCAAATCCGGCATGTAAACACGCTGTTCATATATAGCAAGAACTAAACCAAATTCCACGTACCTGCCGGTAGCCAGAGAAAGGAGACTAGCAGCAGATATAGTACTAAGACAGAAATGGAGAAATTAGTCATCGGCATTCAAGTTTTAACAAAAGCCAGAGATTAATCTGAAGCAAAAAGTGGTGAAGAACTTGGAAACCTGAGGGAAGGGAGAGTATGAGAACAACATAGCTTTTGTAAGAAATTAACTCCAATGTCAAGCTTGGCTGTTTTGCACGAAGAATCACAGTTTGTTGGGAAATAAAATTTGTGAAGAAAAGCAACGATTTAGGGGGCAAGATCGAACCTTTGTCAGCATGAATGCTCTTGTGAGCTCCCATCTTTGTTTCGGATCACAGGCATTACACTACGAACGACTGCAATATAAAGGATTATAGAAGAGAAGCAGCTGCGTATTCTGGCGGCAACATGATTTCATACTTGTCGCCAATTAATAAGAGAAAGAGAAGGTTCTAAGCTTCCAAGCTTTGACATTCCTTCTTTTGCAGAAACTCGAAGTTTGTCATCGTTTTGCCACCTTTTTCACATATTCCCCGCATCCTTTACTACTCCTCCGGTTCTAATTATCCAATTGACTATTTGAGGAGATTTTATTTATAATAAATAAGTGTTGTCATTCCTAAAATATCCTTGCTAATTAAGTATATTGGCTAAAACTATCATTATTAGAATGATTATCTTGGAAAAAATGCATAAATATAAGAGACAAAATGGATTGGGGTCTTATAATTAGGACCAAATAAAAAGTCAAATGGGGTCTTATAATCTATTTTCTAACCGAGTTTTCAGGAATAATAAATTTTTAGACCTTTAAATTTGCTGTTATTTTAGTTTTAATTTCTCAAATTAAATTATAAATTATGGTTCATCAAATTTCTTTTTATTTAAGATATTGGTCTCTATAATCTAATAAAAATTTAGGTTATTTTGTCCCTTGAAAACCAAAACCAATAATTTAAAATTTGGGAGGCTAAAAACCAAAATGAGAACAAATTTAAAAGATCAAAAATTATATTAACCCGAGTTTTTATTCAATACTTGACATGATTGGATTTAAATCTCTGTATTTATCTTTTAAAGTTCCAGGTTTGTAAGTGTAACCATGTTGTTCACTTGGTAAAATTTGATTTCTCATGCCGGCCTCGCGAAGCAAGCGAAATAAAATACTACCATAGAACTACATATTAATTATTAAATCAAAATATATTATGGTATACATTTTAGAAATTATTATTCCATCATATTTATCTGAGAAATTCAAAAAATTTGCCGATAAAATACTCTCTTAATTGTATTTTTTTCATTCTCTTATTATAATTGAAAATTTAGGTATATATACTTTTCATTTTTGGTTTATAGTATGGGCAATCTTTTATGGAAAAAAAGAGGAGACTAAAGTCTCAGGCTTTCTTAATTTTTGATGTTATTTAAATTTTAAAAGCAGTTTAAGAAAATAAAACTATAACCACAGTTTAAAAAAAAAGTAAAATATTTTGATCACCCTTCTATTTATTTTAAGTATACAAACATCACCTCTGTTTTAATAACATATATGTTAGTCCAAACCATTAATATTGTTAAAGAATATTCTGAAAAGATTCTTTAAGAATATTTTTTAATTAAAAACATATTAGAATAAATCTTGTTTACTATTTTACCCCTCATTATATTGAATCTCTAGTTTATCTTTTAATATTAATGATTTATTAATATTTTACTAAATTAAGACACAACTTTATAATTTAATTGAAAATACATATATACAACTACAAAACATTTTCAGCTAATATGTATTTATTAAGTTTTAGTAAATAAACGAGATTAAACATTTAAATTTATTATAAAATAACAATATGTATTTATAAAATTAATTAAATTTATAATATGATAATCAATTTAATATCATAACAAAAAATTATTAAGATATGTGTTAAAATTATTTTTAATTTCAAATAAAGACATATCATATGTTATTAAACAATAATTATTGGCTAATATATGCATTAAGAAGGGATACTTTGGTCAAAATAATTGGTCGATTTTATTAGTTAACTAATAGTTGAGTGAATGAAAGTGGAATATCAAAACTTAAAAAAAAAGGTTTGTGCAATATACTACCTCCGGTCCTTAATATAAGACCCCGTTTGACTTTTTGTTTGGTCTTAATTATAAGACCCCAATCCATTTTGTCTCTCATATTTATGCATTTTTTTCCAAGATAATCCTTCTAACAATGATAGTTCTAGCCAATACACTTAATTAGCAAGGATATTTTAGGAATGACAACACTTATTTATTACAAATAACTAACTTAACTTACTTCCTTAATCTCCTCAAATAAGTCAATTGGGTTTTATAATTAGAACCGAAAGTAGTATATTTTAATTTTGAGGGAGGTTCATATGGTTGAGTGAGTGAAAATTGAATTGAATATCAAAACTGAAAAAAAAAAATTGTGCAATATGTATTTTAATTTTGAGAGAGGTTCATGTGGGTTTTTTAAAAAAAAAAGAGCTCTCTACAGTTTAGGTTAAATAGATGAGAGATTGATGCATTTTAGTCTAAAAAAATGATAGGTCTTGTGCTTTCATTTTAGAAAAGTAAAGAACTATTAAAAATTATTAAAAAAAAGCATTTTTAGATATATTTATAAGTTATAAACATCTTTTAATTAAAAAAAGAAAAAAATTAAAAAAATGCATTTTTAGAGTATATTTATAAGTTATAAACATCTTTTAAGTTAAAAAAGAGAACTGCATAACTGGCATCTCTGGCACCCAAAAAAAAAAAAATGCAACGGGCCTCTGGGCGCGGGTGGATTTCGCGTCAAAACAAAATGAGCATAACTTCCGAGCGCTGAAGCCTGAAATCGACGCTGCTATTTTCGTGGCTTCCATGGATGACGGCGCCTTTGTTTCATCGCCGGACGTGGAAACGTTCCTCTGTGAATTATTACTGGATTCCACGCAACCGATTTCTGAGCGCTTCAGAGCTCTCTTCTCTCTCCGCAATCTCAAAGGCCCCTCTCCTCGCAATGCCCTTATTCTCGGTCAGTCGATGCTTATACTTTTCTATCCTTCTTTTTCTCCCATGTTCTCGAATGTTGCTCTAAAGAACCTTCGACAGATTGTTTCGTTTTGTACTATCCTATTTGGTGCACTCTTTTGTATGGCGACTGTTAAAGTGATTTTTTTAGAGATGAAATAAGAAAGCAAAGGGTTTTAAATGCTTGACTTGCACGATAAGGTAGTAAGGAAATTTGCATCAACTTAATGGAAAAGTGTATTTGTTAATGGCAAAAGTGCATTTGTTGTCTTCATCCCAGAGCTTTATTCATACTCGAGTTCAGTTTTTCTAATTTAGATTACTTGTTGTGGCGGACGTGACGGACATACAAGCTTTGTGCTATTTTATTTGATTGTTGTCGGTTTCACTCAAATTGATCCTAGCTGATCTTTTTAATTTGCAGCCACAAGGGATTCTTCAAATTTGTTGGCACACGAGGCTGCATTTGCATTGGGTCAAATGCAAGATGTGGAAGCCGTCCCTGCTCTGGCGTCGGTTTTAAATGATCTTTCTTTGCATCCCATTGTTCGCCACGAGGCATGTGCTTCTTCAATATTTTGTTTAAATCTTCTTTTTTGCTTTCTAATACCCTGCTTCCTTCATATTGATAAATGATTTTGTTATAACTTCATAGGCCGCAGAAGCTCTTGGTGCAATTGGTTCAGATAGTAATGTTCCTCTACTGAAGAATAGTTTGGATTTAGATCCAGCTCAGGAGGTTCGAGAAACATGCGAATTGGCTCTTCACCGTATTGAGCATTTGAAAGATTCTGGCTGTAGTTATGAATTGTCTGTAATTGATGCATCACCTTTTAAGTCTGTCGATCCTGCAGCTCCAGCTGCCTCATGTTCTTCTGTGGATCAATTGAGGTTTGTTTAGTCCATTCTAGTAGCTAAAGCCTCTGTGACCTTGAGATCGAGGACTGCGTTGCTAACTCATTTTAATCAACATTAGGAAAGTACTTCTGGATGAAGAAAAAGGGATGTATGAACGGTATGCAGCTCTTTTTGCCCTTCGAAATGATGGTGGAAATGAAGCTGTTGCTGCTATAATTGATTCCTTGGGTTCAAAAAGTGCTCTCCTTCGCCATGAGGTTTGTTAAATATTCTTTTTTTTTTTTTTTAATCACCTGATGTGAACTTTTTTCTGCATGTATGCTTTGTGTGAATATATGGCAGGTGATGTGCTCATCTCTTATGTACCTAGCGCAAAGGCCTAGAGGGTGCCTTAGTGGGATGCATGGTGGCGTGGTAGCTTTTTATAACTAATAATAAATTGATTTGATATTTATACGTCTGGTCTGATAATTGATAAATACTTGCGTCCACAACTTCTTAGTTTAGGCAAACTGATAAAAGCCATCAATTGGTCATTATATTAAACGAACCATCTAAGGCTAGAGGTTGTCTTTCAATTATTTCCTGCAGTTGTATGCGCATGATTTTTCCTGTCTTTTCTTTTTTTTTGGGGGGGGGGGGTCAATGGACACTTCTAATTTTCTATGCTGGTAATTTCTGTAAAATTTAGGTTGCTTATGTTTTGGGCCAATTACAAGACAAAGCTGCTTCGGCTGCACTATCCAATATACTTAAGGATGGGAATGAGCATCCCATGGTTAGACATGAAGCTGCCGAAGCTCTTGGTTCAATTGCAGGTATTACCACTGAATATTATCAAATGATGTGGGGTCTATTTCAAAGTAATAATGTATTAGAGAGGTGTTGTGTTGGTTGCTAACTATCCTCTTGCAGAATCAGAAAAATCATTTGATTCATGAAATTCATAACAGTCAATGTAATATTACCTCCAGTCCTATTTATAAGACTTAGGTAGTATAAATGGATTTAGTAATAGTTGAAGGAAATCACTCTTACAAGAGATGTGTAATCTGTTTTAAATGAAGACTTTTGTAATTTTTAGTTTTTGTGGATGTGGATGGGCTCTGCTGTTAGGAGTTGGAATCTACTCTCTGTTTGCCTGAAACCAGCAAAACATCATGTCTTCCTACTACTCTCTCATTTCTCATCTCTCAAATTTTAAAACTAACAAACATGACTTGCCTGATTTTTTCGCCTAACATAAATGAAGTACGTATGCTAAGGTCCCATCAATTTTCGTTTAGTTCTGCTGAGCTACTTGAATGATAGTAGTTAACTACCACAAAATTGATATCAATCAATTTAAAACATAAAATTTATGGCAAGTAACACTATTCTTTTTTTTTTTTGACCGGAAGGCAAGTAACACTATTCATATGCTGTGAACATGTAACTTATTCATTAAATTCTGGGCATTATATGGTGCTGACATCCTTCATTAGTTCTACTTATGCAGAGTTTAAATTTCAACTGGTGTTCCTGTTGAATTAACACATTTGTTATCTTGTATACCTTCTAGATGACCGAAGTGTAGCCCTTCTTGAGGAATTTGTGGCTGATCCGGAGCCTCTTGTCTCACAAAGCTGTCAAGTTGCTCTGAGTATGCTAGAATTTGAACGATCAGGGAAATCATTTGAGGTACGTAAAGGAACCGTTAATACTAGTGGATTTTTCTTTTCTGTTAACTGACACAGCATCTCCCCTTTATGGAATCTTTTTTATGGTGCAGTTCCTCTTCATGCGCTCGCCACTTGTTGAATAAGTTTTTCAAGTTGGCGTATTTCGTCATGCCGATACTTGAAGAATAGGTTGATGCATGAGACCAATGAAAAAAGGAGACTCAAAATTTGTAGGATTTCTGACAGAGGAGTGATGCTTTTTTATAAAGTTAAAAATTTTCAAAGTATAATTGTTGAAAATAGGAAACGTCTAGTCTTATATAAACATATCCACTATAGTAGGGTTTTGAATGTGGTTCTATCACTTGTAAGATATCTATTGCTGTTGGCATGTAACCATGGTCAAGATTCTGTGCTCTTTCCAAGGTATGGTGATACTGAGGTTGCAAACCAGTTAAGGTTGAAAGGATATGTTTCCCAAGAGTCATTTTCACGGGGAGGCAAGGACTGAGTTTATCTTTCTTATTTGCCAATGATATCTTTTCTATGTTCATATTCAACCCTCTGTATCCTGGAAAAAGTCGACGTGCGCTGATACTGAAGCTTGGGTAACGAGATGAGTGTGACCGGTTTGTTGGTCAAATTAAAAGCATTCTGATCAAATGCCGAAGTCTTTCCTCGACCTAATATCAGTGACTGGTTCATTAGCTTGGATTTTAATTTAAAAGGGGTATTTGTTTCAGTTTTTCAGAATCATAGAATTACTTTCTCTGATCAAAAAAAAAAAAAAGAATCATAGAATTACTTTTAATCAAAATTAATTCTAACACCTTTTTATTTGATGTCAATGATCCGTTTTTTTTGGTTGGCACAATATCCTTAATTTATGAGATGCCTGGGTGGTTCGGAAAACACCTTTGAAGAGCGCTTTTCATCTAAGTTAAGGTAAAATTTTTTTTTTTACATAATTATTTTGAGCTTCATAAAATTATTTTTAAAATCGTAATTTGGTTTTTATACCAGCGTTTCTGAACTTTGAAATATCTTCATTGTCCATTCCCTTCCATTTGCACCCCTTCGAACCGAATTGGAGGCCTATAGTTACTACACTCGTAAAGAAAATAATTATATTTAAAAAACAAATGATAACACATTTTGTAGTAATTTTTGACTTGAAATTTTAAAATTCAATGGTCATTTTTTTTTGAAATTTTCCTATTTATAATTATAAAATATATCAAATTATTGTATAATATTTTGAATTCTTAATATAAGAGTTTGTTTGATTTTTATTTTAATTCTAAATATAAGACACGAATTTAATTTATGTAGTTCTAATCAATATATTTGATTAACAAGGATATCTCGAAAAAATTAACATCTATTTATTATAAATAACTAACTTAACTAATTTTTTTAATCTATTCAAATTAATCAATTAATTTTCATATAAGAGATAGAAAAGTATATAATTATTTTCTTTTGTGTCTTTTGAGCAAAACGCATAAAATAATTAAAGCTGCAATAAAGTGGATTCTAATTAATTATCTGTGGATTGATTGACAGCCAGATGGATTGATAGACTAATTTTCCGTCGGCAAAACAAGAAAAGACAGATTAATTTTCCTATTGATGAGTTTTAAGGAGAAATCGATCAAAGCGTCGGACACAAGCTAACTGGTAAAACAGTCGGAGTGTCGGACTCGGAGACTCTTTCCCAAGCATACTCTGTAGTGTACTAAGCCCAACACTATAAATTCCTCTGCCCAGAAAGCCGACAGTGTAAGACAGAAAGGTGGAGGTGAGGTGGGATTAAGGAGAAAATGGCGAATCCTCAAAAGCCATGGAAGGCAGAGTATGCGAAGTCAGGACGATCGTCTTGCAAGACTTGCAAGAGTGCCATCGGCAAAGAGACTTTTCGCCTCGGCAAGATGGTTCAAGCCACCCAGTTCGACGGTTTTATGCCGGTCTGCGTCCACCCATTCCTACTCTGTTCCCCATTCACCCCCTCACTCTTTCTTCTACGCTTCTTATTTCTGGAAACCCTGAAATCATTTGGTTTTGTTACATTCCTCGCATTATTCTTGCGGATATGTTTGGATGGATAACTGGGGGGTTTGTCCAGTTTTGTGTGCTCACCTTGCTTCTCCCCCTTCCCTTTTTTTTTTTTCCTCCTTGAGGATTTTACGTGCATTCTGGCTGTGACTGTTTGTTCCTTGCTGCACCCCCGGCGCGCGCGCGCCTTGTCGCAGAGTTGAAGGGGCGGAGAGATTTTCTTCAACACCTGTTACCTTTAAAATGCTGATAACATCTCATGGACCATTCGAGTTGTCCTTATTTATATTTGGATTATTTAATCTTGTACTGCTAAGTAATCCGCTTTCATGATTGCAAATTGCCCTTATTTATATTATTAGAAAAGAGTTGCAACTTAAGGATTCACCAGATAAAAGCTGAACAACGAACAAAAAATATTAATTGATGCTCTTCGGAGAGAATGTTGACAGTACATAGACTAAATGGGGCTTACAGTCTGGTACTGGTTTTATAAGCAGATTATCAACCTATTATTAGTCTTGGAATCATGTTGGGGCGCAGTTTGTATTTCCTTGCTAATGCTAGTGTTGCACTATGAAGACTCGTGCAATTCTAAGTTTCTGAAAAGTTGACTTGTCGCCCATTACATCAGATTGTATGTAACCTAGGGGTCCTAGTTATGTTGTTGCTTTCTGAAACTCCTTCATTTCACGTACCAAGATATTTCATGCGTCTTAAAGGGATGACCCATTTAGCTTTCTGTATCTGACTGAAACCTTAGCAAAGAGTTGTACTACAATTGATCTCAATATCGTTATAATTATGGATGAAATGATATGCTATAATTTCCTTCTTCTGTTGGTTGCTTGTTTTAACTTCATTACATCATTGTTTCTTATCTGTGTTTTTTATTATCAGATGTGGCATCATGCGGGTTGTATACTGAAGAAACCAAAGCAGATAAAATCGTATGAGTTTTTCTCCTCAGTTGTTATTTGTATGATGATTTGACGTGGGCACGAATTTATTTTCATGCAATACTGTTCTTCTAGAACTGATGACGTTGAGGGCATAGAGGTGCTTCGTTGGGAAGATCAACAGAAAATCAGAGAATATGTAGAGAGTGCTGCGCAACCAAAGTCAAATACTATTAAAGATATGGAGTATGGTATTGAAGTTTCACAAACTTCTCGTGCCACGTGCAAGCATTGTGGGCAAAAAATAACCAAAGGAGAGGTTGGTTTTTATGTTTCTTTGAATGCCATAGTATTTGGCTTTACTTAGTGGAGCATGTAAATTGCTTGTGGGCATTGTGGTGTGCAAAGGAGATGATAAGTAAAGGCGTAAGTTTGTGGTTCAGCTTTTTTTTTTTTTAGATCCTACTTTCTTCTTGTTTATCATAAAAGTATTGATGGAAATTAACATGTTTGAGATCTAGTAATATCCTGAGCATTTCACAGATATGTTAGATAACACTTCCAGAATATAGGGTATTGTCATTCTTTTAATTTCAATACTTGCGTTTTCTTGGCAAAATTGCGCTTTTGATGTCTGTTAAGGAATCAATCTTCATGAATTTGCTACCCTTCCCTTTTATCTTGGGGTGGCTATTGAGTTCTTGAACCAAAACGTATAACAAGCAGAGGTGCATGGGACCAGAATTGTTATTCTGGCTTATCGCAGTCTCCATTCCCAAGAATCATGCTGTCTGGCCAAAAACAACCTCTACATGACTATACCTCCCTCATCCCCCATTTTAATTTGAAAGAAAATTGATTTGAGTATTTATTGTTCAAAATTGTTTATTGGATATTGATATTTTCAAACATCAAGCTATTACTGCCCAAGCTCTAAGAATATAATTGTATGTTAGAAGAGGATAGTTGATAAGGTTCTTATGAGACTTTTAAGACCCCAGAAATAAATATGTTCGCTGCTGCCTGGGTGGATTTTGGGGCTTCCCTTCTTGGGCATTTATTTCCTTTATTCCATTGTTATTCTAGCTCAACAAATATAAGCCTTCAATGCTTAAGGCTCTGGACAGAAACATTTCAGATTCAGATTACTTTTTCCTAGTGCACTGGGGAATTGGTGAGCAGCCAATTTGTTTCTTCTCTTCAAAAATTGCACCACTTCAAAGAGTCCTCAAAAGTTTGAATCAGTGGAGTGGTTAAGTTGATCTTCTATGTCCTATTTGCATTTTGGTGTTGCGTGAAATCTGCAGAAAAGCAGTTAGGCAACAAGAAGCCTATCATACTTTCTTCTTCACTGGCAAGTTTGTTCAAATTGACTGCCATCATCAAAGGACACTAATGTGTATTTTATGCAGATATGTTTTGATTTTCAGACTGTTCCTTAATTATTTGTAATCACACTGGTCTGTGTAGATGTGCATTTTGACTGAGTATCTCTTCATGCTAATAGGTCTATTGTATTTATAGGTTCGTATATCTAGTAAGCCTGATGGTCAAGGTGCTAAAGGATTGGCTTGGCATCATGCAAACTGTCTCATGGAATTATCCCCATCAATACATGTCGAAAAGCTGCCAGGATGGGATGGTCTCTCACCTTCTGATCAATCAGCTGTTAATGCCATAGCTAAGAAACTTCATTGCAAGCAGCGAGGTATAATGATCTTTTAGGATATCTGGTTTATTCATGCTGTAGTGATTGCATCTAATATGTTCCCTTTTTTTTTTTTGGTTGCCATCTCATTATTGTTCTCAGATGGTGCAGACATTGAGGCTCAAGAGGCTAAGGATGCCAGATGTGAATCAACTTCTAAAGCTGGCAAAAAACGCAGGAATGATGCTGCTAGTAACCCCAAGTCAAAAGTTGCCAAAGCTGAGGGAGATGCTTCTGGAGGCATGGCTGCATCAGTTAAAAATGTTAATGACTCAACGAAGGCATCTGATCTGGAAAGGAGACTAGAGGCCCAAACCAAAGAACTCTGGACTCTGAAAGATGATCTGAAAAAGCATGTGACGACTGCTGAGTTGCGTCTAATGCTGGAAATCAATGGTCAAGACTCAACAGGATCAGAACTTGATTTGCGTGACCGCTGGTAATTTATTGTCTCATTCATTTTCTATGCTCATCTTAAAAGAAGCTTTTGCTTTCACCCTGCCTATCTGTGCCGTTTTCCTATGAATGATTAGTTGTTATGATTGGACAGTCAAAAGATGCAGTTTAATTTTTCTTGGTGTCCATCTTGCTTGCTTATTAATAATTGCGCTAACATTATTTGTACTTTCTGGATTGCAATTTATATATCAAAGGGAAAAAGGAAGCAGGCTAGTCTTGCACCGCTAGTACTGCTTAGATGTGTAACCCTGTTTCCAATTTTGTTCTATTTTCTATTCTCTACTTATGATGTCTTTTACAAATGTTTTCTGTGAAATGTAATGGTAGTGATGACTTACTTTTACAAATGTTTTCTGTGAAATGTAGTGTGGCGATGACTTACTCTTCTTGCTTTAGTAATGCATCTTTTATCACTTTAATATTTAGTGCCGATGGAATGATGTTTGGACCACTGGCTTGTTGCCCAATATGTTCTGGCTCTCTCCGTTATTCTGGAGGAACGTACCGGTGCCATGGTTATGTTTCTGAATGGAGCAAATGCTCCTACTCTACTAACGAACCCAAACGACTTAGACAGAAGTGGAAAGTTCCAGAGGGAACAGACAATCAGTACCTTAAACAGGTGTGTAACAAAAAATAATGTCATAAATCAAATATAAAACATGTATCTGACTTTATATTACACTGGCTGTTTGCAGTGGTTCAGATCTCAAAAGGCTGAGAAACCGGTTCGGATGGTGCCTCCAAGTTCATCAAATTCTGAAAGTCAAATCATTGCTTGCCAGCATCAATCTGCAAGCAGTGAAAATTTGGGAGAACTGAGAGTTGCTATTACTGGATATCCTAAAGAATCTGTTGTATAATGTTCCTTCCATCTTTACATCCCTAATTGGAGGATTCTTTGTAACCATCCTAGGAGTCTCATGTTTAACTTCATTATTTATCTTATTCTTCTGAGATATGATTGTGCAGGTGAAGTGGAAAAGCAAAGTTGAGGAGGTTGGTGGCGTGCTTCATGCTAAAGTAAAGAAAGGTATCTACAATATTGACTGACATAAAGAGATGCCAAAAAGAGAGATTTGTGTATGTTTTTCTTTTTTGACCAAACGCAAAAGGATTTATGAAAATTTGGCCTGGTTACTTGTAGATACTAACTGCTTGGTGGTGATTGGGGCACTGGACGAGCAAGATGCTGAAATACGGAAGGCAAAGTATGGTGCATTCAAATTGTCAGTTTCAAATGTTCTCATTTCTGATTAATAATAATCGCTGACCTTAAAGAGTTTCCTTAGGAGGGTGAAAGTACCTATAGTCAGAGAGGATTATCTGGTTGATTGTGTGGAAAGAAAGAAGAAGCTTCCGGTTCCCTTATACAAAGTTGAAGCTACTAATGAAGCCTCTAGCATGGTCACTATCAAAGTGAAGGGTCAAAGTGCTGTTCATGAGGCCTCTGGCCTGCAGGATTCTGGTCACATACTTGAGGAAGGAAAAAGCATATTTAATACAACTCTGAATATGTCTGACTTATCTACTGGTGTTAACAGGTGCCTGACCATATTATGCTTTTGGGTTTTGTGATGGCAAACCATACAAGTTCCAAAACATCAAGTTCCTTACAACTGATGTCCAAATTATATGATTTGATTTTAACAACTTTTCTGATATGCCTTGTTGCAACATTAGCTGAAATGATGATATTGTATATGACGTCATTTGAACCACCTTCAAGTAACTAAAGATATCTGTAAATTTCTCCATTAAACATAGCAGAAGGATTTATATATACTGAATATGATGTAATTTCAACCACCTTCAAGTAGCTAATGATATCCTTGAATTTCTCCATTAAACATAGAAAAAGGATTTATATATACTGATGCCCACCCTAGTGTTTAAGTCAAAATAAGCTAGTGAATACCACTCTACTTTGTTTAATCTTTACTTGTTACTGACCTCATTCTGTTGGCAGCCAGCAATTCTAGTTGAGAATTCATAATTTCTATAATGGATCTTAAAAGTGCCTAGTAAAAAAATTATGACAAATCGCCAAAGAAAAAAAAGCCCAAATAAGCAATTAGAGTTCCCTCCACTCTGTTTAATCTTTGATGGTTCTAAACCTCATCTTATTAGGACCTGGCAATTTTTCATTGAAGATTTATAAGTTCTAGAGTAAAGCAATGTTGGAATACTTAGGTTGCGTGCAAATTGATGTTTATATTATTCTTTGTTGGACCATGAGGTCTTACGGTACACTTGTTTAGTTTTTAATGTCCACAATGTTGGTTGTCTGGAAAAGAAAAAACACCTTTTGCAAGCATCTGCCTCACTGTTTTGAGACTTACGATTATTTTCTTTTTGCTGTATTTTTTTATTACTGAATTTTCTTTACACTTCATTGAGTTTTGCAATACCACGTACCATTGTTTTTATCTAGAAAAATGCTGCCCACGATATTGGAAGTTAGTATAGCCTTTGTACTGGTTATAAGCATCCTTTGTGGTTTGCAGATAAAATTTATTTTGGTCACTTAGCTGATGAATTTTATATGTTGGCTTTGTTATGATGGAAATGACGTAATGACTATGAAACAATTTTTGCCAGTTACTTTGAACAAAGGCTATCATGTCTATGTGTTTCATGAGCTTAATCTGACCACTTGGACTTCAAAGGCGTTTGATCATTTCTGCTTTAGTTATCTTCCAAGATGTTAGCTCTGCTGTTTTTAATTCCTTCCAGCTCTGACTGTGTTGTCTCAATAATAAGCTAATTTTTATCTCCCATGCATAGTTACTACATTCTCCAAATAATTCAAGAAGATAAAGGATCAGATTGCTATGTGTTCCGTAAATGGGGTCGGGTTGGTAATGACAAAATTGGAGGAAGTAAGCTGGAGGAGATGTCAAAAGAAGATGCTATTGCTGAATTCAAACGATTGTTCTTTGAGAAGACTGGAAACCCTTGGGAGGCTTGGGAACAAAAGAATTTTCAGAAGCAACCAGGAAGATTTTTCCCACTAGATATTGTACTTCTTATTCATATCCTTGTATCTCATTATGATGTAAATCATTCTTGCTCATCAGATGGATGTTCAACTTATGCAGTTGTTTTTTTAAAAAAAAAATTGCCTCTGCAGGATTATGGGGTTAACAAACAGGTTACAAAGAAAAGTAAAAAAGATGAAGACAGTAAACTGGCCCCTCCATTACTGGAATTGATGAAGATGCTTTTTAATGTGGAAACATACAGGTATCAAATTATACCCTATCTTATTTTTGGTTATGCATGACAAAATACTGAATGTTGACTTTCACAGGGCTGCCATGATGGAATTTGAGATAAATATGTCTGAAATGCCACTTGGGAAACTGAGCAAAAATAATATTCAAAAAGGTATGATTATGGTTTTCTATTTTTTTCCCAAAAACAAATGATTTTGTTGACTATTTTTTCTTTGGCAATGGCAACATTGGAAATTCTAATGTATATTATTTATCGATTGACTGGTAAATGCTAATTGTATGTTGACTTGCTTCCTTGTCCCAGGGTTTGAAGCCTTAACAGATATACAGAATCTGTTAAGTAATAACAATCCCAATGCTTCAGTCAGAGAAAGCCTGCTTATTGATGCTAGCAATCGGTTTTTCACTGTGATTCCTTCCATTCATCCACATGTTATAAGGGACGAGGAAGATTTTAAGTCAAAGGTATATATTACGATGCCTAAAGAAGTTTCTAGGTTTTCTTGGTTATGAAAAATGAAATTAGGTTGATGCCAACGGGTCTTTGTGCCTTAGTTGCCTTATTAGTTTGAAGTTTAAACTATGATACAAAGAAATTAATGATTTTTGCGGTTAACTTCTAAAATGATTTTAGATTTATATTTTAATATGATAGCTTGGAATCTATCTCGTGCTGAAGTTTGTTATCATTCTGGTCAACAGCAGTTTAAATTACTACAAAGCAACGTGGGACATGTTGAAAAACAATGCAACGTGTTCTAAGTGCATGGAAACTTGAATTTTTTTTTTTTAAGGACTATTAATTGGTCTAAATTACTTAATCCTATGGGGGCTGTAGCTGATAAACGTTGTTGCTTTATCTTGATGCATTTTGGACTCCTTTGTCATGAATTTTATTATGTTGCTCTTGCAGGTGAAAATGTTAGAATCACTTCAAGACATTGAAATAGCTTCAAGATTAGTTGGATTGGATGCAGATGGTGATGACTCCATTGATGATAAGTATAAGAAGCTTCACTGTGACATTTCTCCGCTTCCTCATGATAGTGAAGATTATCGTCTGATTGAGAAGTTTCTCCATACTACTCATGCTCCTACACATACGGTGTGTTTATAATTGAATAGCAGCGACTCACAAGCTGTATTATGCGTCCGTGTCTTTGGATCTTGCCCTTTCACTTTTAAAATGTGTTGATTATCAGTCTGTCCTCTCCACAGGATTGGAGTCTTGAGCTAGAAGAAGTTTTTGCACTTGAAAGGGAAGGAGAATTTGACAAGTATGCCCCTTACAGAGAAAAGCTGGGTAACAGAATGCTTCTATGGCATGGTAGGTTTACTACTGGTCACACTATTGTGCACACTAGTTAATATCCTTCTAATGACATCATGAAAAAGAGAATAAACCTGATCAGTCACTCACGGACTAGAGCGGAAGAGTTTCAAAGCTGAACCTTCTTAATATCCTTGCATATTTCTTCAATTATATACACCAGTTGTCTATGAAGATATGATTGAAATATAACCGCAAGGTTGACTATTCTTGCTGCAACATTGTATCCGCCAAAGTTCACTACAGCTTGCTGGAAGTCAACGTTCAGGAGAATGAAAGCAATTAAAAATTGTTAGTCCTATAACTAGAATGTTATCTGTTGCAGGGTCTAGGTTGACAAATTTTGTCGGCATACTTAGCCAAGGACTGAGAATTGCACCTCCTGAAGCCCCAGCAACTGGCTATATGGTTCTTTGTCTTTCTCTTAGTCTCTTCCATTTTTTTTTATTTTTATAACTATGTACATAATTGCTACCCAAATATGAAATTCTGAATATTTTGCTGTACAGTTTGGCAAAGGAATATACTTTGCTGACCTGGTCAGTAAAAGTGCTCAGTATTGCTTCGCTGATAAGAAAAATCCTGTTGGTCTGATGCTTTTGAGTGAAGTTGCCCTTGGAAATGTCTACGAGCTTAAGAATGCTAAGGTCAGTCTGGTTTAATTCCAATCGTGCATGTGGGTTTATAACGCATTTGGTTGTTGATTATTAGTTACTACTTTATTGTGCATGCCTTCAAGCTTTGCGCCCCCCCCCCCCCAAGGGGGGTGTATGTGATAAAAAATTCTTCTGAATATATTGGCAATTTCCTTATCTCTGACAAGTTTTTTCCCTCTTTGCCATGAAGTATATGGATAAACCTCCGGAAGGAAAGCACTCTACTAAAGGACTGGGCAAGAAAGTACCTGATGAATCGGAATTTGTAAGGTGGAGAGATGACGTCATTGTTCCTTGTGGAAAACCAGTGTCATCAAGAGTCAAGTCTTCTGAGCTCATGTACAACGAGTTTATTGCTTACAATACTGCTCAAGTAAGTTTTGAAGCTTTGCTTATGGTGCTCATGTCTTACCATGCCCATGAAAGAAGCTAGAATACTTGTAAATTTTCAATATTTTCAATCAGTATAAAATGGATATGGAACTTTGATGAAATGTGGTAATGCACATCATAGATTGGTATGCTGATTTATTCATGCAGATTAGTTTTAATTTTTCGTGGAATTGTAACTACTTTAAGCCGTAATGAATGACACAATTTGCCTTGATTATCATTCCAATATTTGTGTTGTGATTGGAACTTCTGCCCGGACAAAACCGCAAAAACGGAGAATTCCTTTGCTTTACTCCCAGCAGGGTACAATGATTCACTGAAAGTATGATGTTTGAGTCTCGTTATAACTTAGTTTTCTCTCTGTAGGTACACTTTGCCAATTCTTAAACGTTGATAAACAATGCGCTTGCGCAATGCTCTATTCTTACTTGGGATTAGTTGATACTACTGCCCGAATTAAGGATCATATACTTTTGAGACAAATGAGATTAAATATGGGATTATTTTGTGCAGGTTAAGATGCAGTTCTTGTTGAAGGTGAGGTTCCATCATAAGAGATGAGGATGGGGAAGTAATCTGGATGTCAAGTATTTTGGGGGTATGTTTTGTGCATTCGCTTCTACCTGTGATATGCCAAGACTTTTGTGAATATAGGATTCTCTCTAGGATGATGAAAGGTCTCATTTTGGGATGACTGGAGACCTTCAACTTCTGTTTTCTTTCTTTCTTTTTGGTTGCAAGGGCAGGGATAAAGTTGAACGAAGCCATTCAGAAATTTGAAACCCTTGTAGCAGTTTGTCCTTAGCATTGTAAGTGATACGGTGGTGATGATGAGGTTTTTGTGGGGGCCCTGAATACACAAGATACTATATCTGGTTTGCATGTGTGTCATGTGCAGAGCGACGCTGTTAACTGATGTTGATAACATCATGACATGATTAGGTGTATATATAATCTTGCATGTTAATTCCTATCATTCCATCAAGCTCAAGGTAAGTGAAGCCATTTCTTGTTGTCAAGGATGACGTTACTATCTCCATGGATGTACATATTCATGCAATGAATTAAATTATGCTTGTGCAAAAATTAACGCGGACCCAAAAAACATCATTATAGTTTTTGGGCGGATCATATAAATTTCATACTTTAGGCAAAATTAAAATGAAAATCATAAAGGAGGGGTCGAAGTCCCTGGATGTGGACAAACCTCGCTTTCTAATAGAATTGGAAACATTTAAGTAATTTAGAACGAGGTTATTAAGGGAAAAAATCACGAAAGGGAACCTCCGCGTTAATTAATAGCTGTATAAATTAAAGGGTGCACATTTCACGTTTCTTTGATGGCCGGGAATGCTTTTATACGCATGTAAGAAATTGAAGCCGTCCTGCAGAATAATGGCCGGCGACCCAGCAATCTAGAAGCATATTATTATTTGTAATGATTATAAAATGATATACGCTTCTTATTCTACTCCGATTCGATTCACATTTGGCTCTTATTTTCTCAAATGTGTTCACTCTCTTAAGTGGATCCAATACCGGATAAACAAGTGCTGTACAGTGACCAAATGTAATTTTTCTTTTTCAACCTGAGTACCTCGTATCCAACCTTCTTGTATCGACTTTAAACAAACTATGTTTATTAACTCAGGTTTATTGTGTTATATACAAAAATATAGAAGTCCAGAAAAGGTAAAAAACGGATGATAAGAGGGAAAGAAGAGAGAAGGGGAGAGAAAGCAGGGAACAGAACCGAAAGGCGTGGGTGAAAGGTAGGGACAGGTGGCGGTGAGAGTGAGTCAGCGTCAAAAAAGCGACAAAAAGAAGAGCAGTTTTCAGGTGCGGCGTTCGGCGCAAAACATACCAAACCAATTACATGTATGGTTAAATTTCTTTAAACTAATTAAAATCAAAACCCCATCACTAAAACAAGTCCCCACAATGCATCTTCCATTACGCAGTGTCTCCTCAGAACCCTACATCAGAGCGACCCCATGTCTCCCTTTCACATTTCCCTCTCTTTATGTCCCTTATTTAATTCCCCTAAGTCCCTCCCTTCCTCCCACTTCCCTTAGTTCTCACATCATCTTCTTGCACCATTTCCTAGTGTGCTCGTGTGCTTAAACTTTTCTTAATTCTCTTTCTTTTTTGTTGTTGTTCTTGTTGAAGTTGTGGTGTCTGTATTATGGCTTGTTCCGGAAGTAATAGTGGAAATGGGAGTGGAGGTTCAGGGTCTCCTTGTGGGGCATGCAAGTTTCTGAGAAGAAAGTGCGCGGCTGATTGTATATTTGCTCCTTATTTCTGCTCCGACCAAGGCCCTGCTAGTTTTGCTGCCATACATAAGGTGTTTGGAGCTAGTAATGTCTCCAAACTCCTCTTGAACTTGCCTCCCATGATCGTTGTGAGGCTGTCCTCACTATTGCTTATGAAGCTCAGGCTCGTATCAGAGACCCTGTTTATGGTTGTGTCTCCCACATTTTTGCCTTACAACAACAGGTGCCCTCTTTGCTTACTTTTATAGTTCTTCTGACTACTGAAGCTCTCTCAACTTTGTATTTCGTTTAACTCCTAAGTTATGCGTCCTGCCTGAATTTACATTAAAGCTGAACAAGTTCTATGTATTCTAACTTTTTTTTTTTTAACCCCTCCTTGAAGAAGGGGCATCCATATTGTTATTCAGTTTTACCACTTTAGAACTCAGAATTAATTCTACTTCTTTCTCATTTCCCCGTTATTTTTTTCTGCCTATACACTGAAATTTGGAATCTGTGAGGTCATTTATAAACCCCAAAATTGAGGGGCAGCTGCGCCCCCAGTCCTTCACACACACACGCTATAAATCACTGTCTTTCTCTTGCATTCAGTTTGTCTACCTAGGTTTGGCTTCTATTTAACTTCAACAGCCAATACAAGCCTACTAATTATGAGCCATAAAACCACACGCGCACACACAGAAACTAGCTAGTCAGGTAGGGAAAATGTTGTTATGCCATCTTTGGTTAATGAATCCACCTCTTTCTCAACTCACAGATCTCGGTATTGATGAAATGCAGGTGGCATGCTTGCAAGCACAGCTGATGCAAGCCAAGGCACAGTTGGCTCAGAAGAGCACAGAGAATAATGAAGACTACTGGGGAAGGAACAATGCTTATGGACAAACACTGAATCCAGTCTATGGCACTAGTTACAGCAACATGAACCCTATATCTCCTCAGAGTTCTCTTGACTCCGTTGATTACTCTACAATTCACGATGGATCCATGTGTTTGCAGCAAGAAGGTTTCTCTTTCCAGCAACCTCGCTCCAAGAAAAGTCCATCGTATGATAGCAACGACTTGAGCGAGCTTCAAGAGCTAGCACTCAGAATGATGAGAAACTAGGCTCTAATAATCAATGAGCTATTCTCTATTAATCTGTCTTTGTACGTTAACGTTTTCTTCAAGGGCATCCGATCCCTTGATGTATATACTGAGAGTATTAGTTCCCTTAACTGGTAGGCCTAAACTGGGCATTTAGGCTTTTTCTGTCCGTGGCTTCCAATCCAAAACTAATTAAATTTTTTGCGCTCTTTATAGATGTCAATCTCTATCGTTTTATCTTATCTAAGTTATCTCATCAGTTACTGTGCTTGCTAAATATTAGCTGCCAGTGTTGAAAATAATGTAGTTCTTTTGTGAACTACAATAATAGGGACAGCCCCAAACTATAAATTAAAGAGAGCCTACAACAGTAGGGCTTGTCTCGCATTATTATACATGCATTCTTTACCTGTCAAACTTCAATAATGATGCATATCTTGGAATTATGAGGTGTGCTCAGTTATTACACAAATTTGGAATTGGCATCTTCGTCTCAAACTCATTCCTTTCATTTAACTTAATTTAAAAAGTAAGTGAATTTCTAGTGGGAGAGCCACCTACCTGAGTTTGGTTGGCATTCTTAAAAGACAAACACGTAACCTGTCATTATCCCATGTCAGTAAATGTAAAGAAAGTTATTATCAATTAATTAACACAGTCAAGTAGCTAGGTACACTTAATCTCTTCCAAAACCTGATTATATAAGCATATTTTCGAAAAGAAACCGGAGGGGACCAAAAAGAGATCGTGCATGAGCCACAATCATGGCTTCTTAGACCGTGTCTAGGAATTTTATCTCTTTTTGCATTTTTATATTGCAAAAGATTTGAAATCAGGAACTCTATAAGTCAAAAGTGAACCAAGTTGCCCTATTGATCCCAACGGGTTCAGATCCAAATGCAATGTCTGCTTTGAGCGCATTGATAAGACAACTTTTTTAAGATTTTGTTATGGCAGAAGCAGTGTCCCAAGGACTTTGATGTTATCATTATAGAGCTGAAGGCAAACACAAGCTCGGGATCAGTACCAAACGGACCCCACTCTCCTAGGTTTTATATTTTAACTGGTAGGTTTACCTAACATTAGTGCTTGTTCATCGATTAGTTGTTTTCTCATTTCACTCTTTGTTGTATTCCTACGATTAGACACCGTGTCCCCTCGACTGAAAGCATCTGCTAGCTACGTCACTGGTTTTGCTTCTCACATTGACACATAGTATATAATAAAGAAACACACAGTCCACTGAGTATATCATATTGAATTAAGCAATGGTTTTTAGCAGATCTCGATTAATCTGCACTAATTTCCTGAGTATATAATAAAAGAACTTAATGTAAGTTTTTTTTTTGGCTATTCAGTTCCATTATATAGCTTGCACATAGAGAACAAAGGCGGATTTGAATTCCATATGGTGCTATATATGCTTGTTATTATCATAATAATTAATTAACCTACAGGTCCATGAGTTACTTTAAAAGTTGACCTTTTTTTTTTTTTTGGGGAAGCAGTAGGTGTCACTGTTTCATTGTCAATGACAATTATCATGATTTTTCCATGCGACCGAAATATTATTGGTGAAATGAACAATAATGGGATCGACAAGAAACTAAGCATGCAGGGTACAAGTTATAAATTGTTTAAAAGATAAAAACGAAAAGAACTATAATTTGGTCCGATCGAGAGGGATTTATGAATACAATAATAATAGAGGAGAGAGCTCTCGATGAGATCGAGACAAGTGATCCAAGACCATGAACATGAACATGCTGTGGCAATATGATATTGTTCTACTTCTCATTATGGGCACCTGTTTGAGCTTGGGGACCATACGATATCCATGAAAATCTGCAAGTGACCGAAGCAAAAGATCCTAACTGAAAACGCCACCCCTTTTTATTTATTTGTACCGATGACAATATGGATTATTGCATAACGTAACATATATCTATATATATATAGGACATAGACTCGTATACCTATCCCCTCCCTAAGAAGTTAACAGACATTTTTGACCATTGGAGAGTCTATTAGGGACGAGCTCCAATATATATTATAATTGCATCAGTAGCCTCTTGAAACTGATTTGTCAGGTGATCAATGCAGGTCAAGAGATACGACTTATGGAACATTCAGAAAGTTATATATTCCAGATGCGAGATCTTGAAGTTTATCTCAGCAATATCTAGTGACAGGGAGAGAATAATTAATACTTTAATAGCTCTCTCTCTCTCTCTCTCTATATATATATATATAGTGCGCCCAGGCCACAAGGTGTTATTTAAGTAGTAATTAAAATAAAGAATGAACCCAGACAGCCCCTTCAAAATGATCTTGCAGGAGAAACAGAACAATTATTTATGGAGAGATAAGTTAAATATATAAGCACTAAGTGAAGGGACATATCTGATTAATTAATAAAATACAAAAGTCCACTAGTTAATGAGCATAATGTGGCATGTATATAAAGTATAAGCCAAAGGCAGAGTGAAGAGGCAGTTAAGTGAGTGAGATCCATACCTGCTGATCGGAAGCTTTTGAGGGATGGCAAAGTAGAGAAAGGAGGAATATAAAATATAATGCAGGCTTTAAGCTCTGGACTCCAATAGGAGCATATATTAATGACATATATAAATTAATTATTATGTGCATAATTAGAATCCATTAATTAGCTTGTATTTGGAAAAGTGTTCTATTCCCACTAGCTTAATTGGGAGAGAGTGATGATTAGCTGAACGTGACAGCGACATCAAAAGCTGCCCCAGAAAAGTGGAATCGAACCAATATACACTGCACAGTGAAGTTAAAGCCAAGTCTTCTCTTAATTATTGAGATTGGCAGCTGCCTGGTAGAAAAAGGGGTCAAAAAATTGCACAAATGTGATCTCTTTCTATTAGTCCAAGGTGAGTTATTTTTTTTTGGTTCAAAGGAGGGAGTGTATGCCATACCACGTCTCGAACACGCAACCTCTCAAAACAATCACCAAGAATGCTTCAAGAAAGCCGCGAGAGAAACTGGTGAGTTATAAAATCTAATATACTGAAGATTAGCCTCTCTCCATGCGAGGGGGCCATGAAATGAATTCTTTATTATTTCTCTTATTCTAAATATAACATCCTAATAATAAATTTATATATATTAAAAATTTATTGAGTTAGTTATTATAAAAAATATTGTTTTTCTAAAATATCTCCTTTAATTATTGGCAATAAAAAATATTTCTATGGAATCTTTTTCCAAGATATACAATTAATAGGAATAATTTTGGAAAAAAAAAATATAACTTTAAGAGTTAAAATGGTTTGAGATTTTATATTTTTTTTTAGCTAAAGTAAAACTCTTATACATAGCTCTTGGGAGGATGTTAAGATAAAAGACTGTACAGGTGTTGTCAGCAGGACCTGGCTTCTCTCGGCTGACAAGGTGCCTCCGCTGCCCTCCTCTACCCAAAACACTGTCATTTTGGGTGTGAAATGAGGGGAGCTGATTGGTTTTTTTTTTTATTCTTTTTTTTTTGTATTTTTGTTTTTTTTAAGCCATGTCACTAAAAGAATATTTTATAATACTGAATGTAACAAAAAATTATTTTAGGATATTTGATGCTTATGAAAAAAATATTTTAAGATGCTAAATGTATCAAAAAATATTTTAGAGTATTAAGTGTACCAAAAATTATTATGAGACATTAGGTGCTACCAAAAAAATATTTTAGATGCTACTAAAAAAACTTCAAAATACAAAAAAAAAAAAAAAAAAAAAAGCAATCAACTCCCCTCATTTTGCACCTAAAACGACAGTGTTTTGGGTAGAGGAGGGCAGGGCAGCTAAGGTGAAAACAGGCCAGGCCAGGCTTTACTCTTAACAGGCCAGGCCTGTTTTGTAGCCTATAGGCTGAGCCTGGCCTGTGGCCTATTACAGGCTTATTTTTCAGCCTGAGCCTGGCTTGTATAAAGGCCTGCTTGGCCTGGAGCCTGTTAAAAAACTGTTTTTTTTTTAAAATTCAAATTACAATAAATTTTTTTAGAAAAAAGCTAAAATAAAAAAAGTATACATAATAATTAATTTTTTTAGTTTTTTCTTTTATTTAAATTTTAGTATCATAGGTACTGTTTTAAATCTTAATTACAATTTATAAGGATATTATTGAAAACTAATTCGAATTATATGTTAAAATTTGGGACAAAACTATGTTTAAGTACCAAAAAAATTAAGACAAATAAATAAAAAAAATTATTAATTTTACAATGAATAAAGAGAGTATCATAATTTAATTAATATAATACATAAGTTAATTAATCTATCATTCTTGGAACAAAAATTTTCTTCCCTATTTTATTTATATTTTTGAGATTTAAAGATCATATTATTTATTGATATTTTTATTTTAAATTATATTTTTATCTTTACTTGTCAACTAAACTTCAAAATCTAAGGAAGAACTAAGCTATTAACTATATATTAAAATTAAAAAAATAAATTAAAAGTACACATTAACAATACCATTAACTAATTTTTTTATATATTATAATTATAAGTTTCTAACAGGCTCAGGCCGGCCTAATAGGGTTAACAGGCCTTTTAGAGAGCCTAAGCCTGGCCTTTTAACTTAAACAGGCCTTCAAACAGGCCTGAGCCTGTCTTTTTTGGAAAATATGCCAGGCCAAGCTAGGCCAAATACAGGCCAGGCCGTAGGCCCCTGACAGGCCGCCTGGCCTGTTTCCACCCCTAAGGGCAGCGCAGGGACCTTGTTAGCGAAGAGAAGCCAGGTCCGTTGTCAGCATACATATTCCATAGTATTTCTACACATGACATACAGAGTGCAGCGGATAAGACAAATATGTGAGGAAGAAGAAGAAGATGCCGGCCAGGCACATCAACATGGGCTCGAGCTCATGGTAATTGGATCACTATCTTAATCTTTAATTAGGTGGGATTATAGCGTATTTAGAATATATATATTTACCAACAGGGTTGGTCCAAGTGGTAAGCGGTTTGGTACTGCTTAAACGAGGTCTCGAGTTCGAACCTCAGCGTATGCAGAAATTCCTGTTAGGAGACTAACTCACCACAGCCAGGTGCGCGACGCGGGTCGGATCCAGATGTAGTCGAAACAAAACTCCAGTGAACTGGGTGGAACAAAAAAAAAGAATATTTATATTTATATATAGACCTTTGCGTTCTATTGAAATAACATTTAACGTGAAGTATAAAATATGACGCGGGGTTGACTAAATTCAATATCATATCAGCTGCAGTTTTAGGGGAAGGATAGGATATGCATAGGCATATACAGCTAGATTAATTTGGAACGGTTATCTATTGCTTCTTTTAAAGAAACGGAACGAAAATTAAAGGTGGTTGAAGTATAATCTGAAAATATTAACTATTCTCCCCTCTTGGGTTTATTTTTATATATAAGCCAACATAATTAATAATTAATAATTTAATATAGGTCTCTCTCATGAAGATTCGAATTTTAAATGAATGGCTTCAAAACTTGTAGAGTAATTTATTAAGAGAATCTTTGGTAAAAAAAAAAATTTATTAAGAGAATCCACAGGCCGGGTTAGAGTTGCAGCTTGGGTGGTTTATATTAGGAAGGCGATCATCGATGACTCATACGTGTTAGACTGACTCACTGAGGACTTTGCTCCACTTAGCCACTCTTATTATTCTGCATATTTTTTATAAAAAAAAATTGCAAGTTGAATTAAGCAATAATATCAAGGTTATCGTGAACAAGTTGATCATGATCTTCTTTTTTAAAAGAAAAAAAGTTACATCAATATCTTCTTTAAGTTATAAGTTTCTCAAACCAGAAATATGATCGTGCGTGCCATCTAGCTGTTTGTGTGCATTTCTGTTTTTTTCCCCCCAAACCAGAAATATGTTCATGTCTGTTCTTTATTTCGTTCTATAAGATTTGATTGATAGGCCGAAAGATAAAAAGAAGAAAAAACTGTTGGAGTTTGAGTGTGGGAAAAGAAATTCATGATTATTGAGGTAAGAGGAGGACGGTACGTAAGGCTTCAAAAGCAATCATTCGGAAACATTCCTGCTGTTTTTACTACAAAAACTATCGTCCTACAAGATCCTTTTAGTGGTACGAGTTTTCTGTATACACCTCACAAACAGTGCACGCAGACAATGAATAGGTACATCATCGTACAAATGGACTCATATCTGGTGCATTTTATTTAATTTAATAAGTATTTCAAAAATAAATAAAATTTTGGATTCCTTCTTATAGTCATTCTTGCCTTATCTTTGTTATTTTTTGGTCTGACTTTGGATCATTTATTGCTTTACTCGATTGTGGGTCCTGTTTGGACATGACTCACTTTTTGGGTCCAAATTGGTGGCCCTGGCCCAACTTCTGGGGCCTGCTTTAGTACAGCTTCATTTGCTCGTTCTACCATCACCGCTAGTACTAAATAATGAGTGAATGAATTGGGTCTCTGATCTGTACATTGAGCCTTGGTGAAGTTTCGTGCGAGTTGTTTAGACCCTTTGCTTTATCCTTAAATTTGTTAATTCATTCCGTTAAATCTGACCAATTACTATATATTTGACAAAGTTTGGAATCTTGTCACTTTCTCGCTTTTTTCTAATTTCTTCTGTTTAAAATTTAAAGGATGTTTCCTTTTCCATACAAAGTAGTTATTCATAACAAAAGAATGTCAATTTTGTGCTTTCCATATAGCATCACAACAGGAGAGATATCTAATTTTTTAACCAAAGACAATACTACTTCCAATCCTAATTATAAGACCTCATCGAGGTTTTATAGTTAGACCAGAAGTAGTATTACATTCAAAGCCAAATACTGGAATTGAAAACTGAACCAAGCTTGGAAGCTCTGTGTGTGCGTGTGTGTTCAAGTTTCTCTCAAGTTCATGTACATGGCATACATGGGATGATGGGAAGGCACTTTTGGGTGTAGGAATATTTAATTAAAACACCTGACGATTAGTCAAAGACTATTCAAGAGCGATCTAGCTGGCTAGATTCGATAATTAAAAAGGAAAAGTAAAAGCATTTTCATCACCAATGCCTTTGTAATGTAGCTACCTCTACCTGTAAATAAAGGAAGCACTGGAAATAATGATGAGGGAATGCGAGCCAAGTGGGGAAGGTAGCCAACTTCAAAATTATCGTAAAATAAGTTATTAGGAGAGGAAGGACCACACCACTAATCGAGTAGAACCAGAATCTAAGATGGCAAAGAAATTAAAAAGGCACTTCATCAATATTTCATGCTCACCACTGTGACTCAAGTGTCATACTGCCATCAAAAGCATTTGTCTGTCATTCTCAAAACGTGGATAACGGCAGCAAATTAAAGTTATTACCTAAAAGAAGTGAAAGTGAAATTATCATGCATGCATAATTAGAGGGGAAATCTGTTTGCAGTTACAATCTTAATCTTTTCCTCTGAAGCAAAAATTGCAGATCAAGAAAGAGCAGTTTTGTAATTCAGCAAGACATCTAATAATCTAATAACTATTAGAACATCCTTGCAAGAGTTCTTAATATTTCCGAACTTCTCAAACTCTCGCACATATGTAATACTTAGCAGGTATATATCTTAATCTAGAGTTGTGACTTACGTGAGTTTGTTTGGAACAACATTTCCAAGTCTTTTACCGGCGTTCTCTCCTTCAGCGCTGATCCTGTCTTGAGCATAGGTAAATATTTCACAACAACATCATTTAACCCCTAAAACTCAAAATACTAAAGAAAACAATAAATTTCATACTAAGCATAGAAGGAATTTTAGAATAGAATATAATACCACCTCCGGTCTTTAATATAAAAGCTAGTTAGATATTCAATTTTACTCTAAATATAAGACCCAAATTCACTTTTTTCCTAACATTATTTATCCATTTTGCCCCTAATTAAGTAATTTTCACGGTCATAATATTTTCAAATAATATTTATCAAATAATATTTTCAACGCACATGATTAGTATGGGTATTTTAGAGAAAACAACATCCATTTGTTACAAATAGTGAGCTTAACCAATTTTTTTAAAATCCACAAATTAGTTATTTAATTCTTATACTTAGAACCAAAGACAATAGTTTTTAAGGGATGAGTTGTTTAAAACTCGTTCTAAAGGGCGTTCTTGGACAATTACACCATCAGCAAGTCAAAATTCATCTAGGAGTGCAACTGCGAAAGCAGGTAGTTAAAGTTATATAGTCATGTATCTGAATGGTAAGGAAGCCATTGATCCTTGGACATGGGTTGGAGAATATGAATGTCTCGATGGGGAAAATAGTGGCTAGAAATAATATGAGGGCAATTTTGTAATTTTAGGTTAAAATTATAGATTTAGTTGATAAATAGTTGTGACTGATGAACAAGTAAATTACGAGTAACAGATTTACCATGAGTTCTTTTATTAAAAAATTTGGGAATAATGCAATTCACAAATGTTGTGGTGGCATCAAATATAATCGCTTGTTGTTGCCCATAATTAAACTTCTCCATTTTTTCTCAGTGTGTAGTTCTTGGCACTTGCTCTGAAAATAATTCAAGCATTCTACTTCATGGTATTGTACCTGCCGGATGTTCACTTCTTCTTTCCATGTTTGCAGTCTCGAGTTACAAAAAAGTTACAAGTATATGAATATTCAGAGGTCTGCACGTACAAAGGTTCTGATCAGAGCCTTTCGATCAGCTTCACTATATTTTAATGCAACTTGTTTCCTCTCCTGGGATTTGAGGACTGTGTGTGAATCGAATACTTCTAGAAGTCGCAAGCACTAGACAGTGGCCTTGAGAAGAACCCTATCAATGGTAAACATATATATACACACAAACACGCACACTTGGTATAAAGATTAAGATGCAATATTGAAGTTGTTTAATGTAAATATAGCCCTAATAATATATTCCTGATCCCAACATATTGCCAATTTCCTCTCTCTGCTGCTTCTTCTATTTGGATTCCCACCAACCAAGCACGCACTGTAAATTTTATAAAGGAATGTACATATTCTAGAGGCCAGACTCCAGTAGTTTTGGGGAACCTGTGTGCGTACGGCTTCTTAAACAAAATGAACCTCTCTGGTACTGTCATCGTCTGAACTCCTTATAAGTTATAACACACACGAGGTGAAAATATAATTATTTTCATCTCTGGTGGAGAGATATATATAAACTCATGATTAAACAAGTGCATGTGATTGACAAATTCGTCAGACATCGGCAGCGGTAAACCTCAAGCAATAAGAAAATACTGCAGTGTGGGAAAACGGCCAAGTTAGTTTTCCCACTTACCAACCAGCAGATTATATAGTAATTATATATACAGCTCTTCGAGATAATATCCCCAAATAAATACAAAGCAGAAGATCGTGCTTTCACATATATTGAACTGTTCTATACATATATCTACGTCACATGGTTTTAATCAAATACACTTTTCTAGCTAATAACTGTATAAGTAACAAAGGTGGAATGGAAGGAGTGCACCATTTTAATTGAGCAATCAAAACGTGTCTTTATACCAGAGCACTTGATATAGCAAGTTGCACCATTAAGTGAGAACCAAGGATATGTCTGACTCTTTCTATGTGCCTTTTGCGTTACGGATAACTTTGGGGGGGGGGGGGGTTTACTTATTTCAGAGGAAATTAAAAGAAAGAGCAACTTTGCTCCACATGGGGTTTCCTAATTAATTTACTCTGGGGTTACCATGCTTACTTTGTTCAGATCTAATGTAAATCCAAAGTCCTCGTGTGTATATCAGAAAGATAAAGTATTCAGAACGTGTGACTGGTTTCGTCAGGCTAAAATTTAAGATCATTAATTGCTATAGGTGATAAACAAATTTGTTTTTTTCCCAGAAAAAAGAACAATTTAACTGAGAGAAAACCAGAGCTTTCTATCCGTAAGAATTACACTACTGATTGATATTAACACAGCAAGGTTATAAATAGGGGTGAATTTCCAACATTCCAAAATAGTCTAGATATGTGAAAATTTCTAGGCTTCCTAGCTAGCTTATTTATATATGGCAACACAGAAGGATTGCTAGCTAGCGCATATATGTTCTTCACAATATATATGCAGCAACTAGCATTCAAAATTGATACGTCGTTCACCATTAGTTTTTCATGAAGCTGATCTGTGGTCATCACTGTAACCAAAAGCCACTGATTGAAGGTCATCCACTTCGTGAAAGTCCCACTGCCTATTGCTTGTTTGCATGTCGAAGGACACGGAGTTACAATTGGTCTCCCCATGAAAGCTCGACAATGAACCACTGTCTTCCATGGTTCCTGAGCTTTTATAATCCCCAATAGGGTTTGGATTCACGAAGGGAGTTGTGTAGTTTCCGTAGCACTGTGTTGCAAAAGAATTAATATCAGACGAGCTGGGAAGAAATTGGGTCCCTGTGTTGGAATTCTCCGGCTGGAACCACTTTTGAAGATCATGATCAGAGAAAGCAGCAGGTTTATTAGGGTTTTCAGTGACAGAAGCATTCAGAATATTGCTCTGAGCTGCCTGTTCCCTCAGATAAGCTAGCTGTGCTTGTAAATTAACCACCTGCAGAATTTAAAGCAACAGTACGGATGTTAAATTCAAAATTCCAGTCACAGATTAGGGTTTTCACTAAGTAAATCATTGCTCGGTCGTCGAAGCAGACCTGTTGTTGGAGGGTGAAGATATGGGAAACACAGCCATAAATAGGATCCTGAAGTCTGGCTTGAGCTTCATAAGAGATGGTCACTGCAGCTTCACAACGGTCGCTTACAGGGAGGTGAGAGAGAAGCTTAGAGACGTTGCTTGCACCAAAAACCTTATGAATGGCTGAAAAATGAGTAGCGCCTTGTTCATGGCAAAAGTAAGGGGCAAAAACACAGCCTCTCACACATTTCCTTCTCAAGAATTTGCAGGCTCCACAGGGAGAACCAGAACCAGTCATCTTAATAATTTTGGGGGGTGTTTAGTTTTGGGGTTTTGTGGTTTTTGAGGTAATATTGTTTTGGTTTTTTTCTGGCTCTTGTGCAATTCACAAATCATTTATCACCATCTTTATATACACCAAAGCAAGAGGGGGGTGGATTAGAATAAGGAATAATTAATTCCGTTAGGTTCCCTTATTGGCCTACAGTACTTGTTTGTTATATTATTTTAAAAAAATCTACCATCTCATCATATACAAAAATTTTATTCAATAAATGAGACTGATTTTTTAAAATTTTCGTTTTAAATTATACTTCATACTCTTTATTTCAAAAATGATTTTTCAAGTTCTTTTATTTCTTTTACACGACAGAAGTTAAACTTTTTACACGAGTAGCACATTTCTTTCAGAAATTAGATTAGTTGTTTTTATAATCATATATGTTTATCGAATTGTCAAAAGAAAATTAAATTAGATATAAATTATATCAATATAAAATTTAATTTCTAAAAAGTAGTGATGTTCAATTGTTCATAAGCAATATAATGGACCGTCAACTCACATTTAACTTAGTATAAAGCACAGGCTTATAATCTTTTTGTAAAAAATATATATATTAATCATAATTTTATGAAACATTAAAAAAATTAGCCTAATTTACTACTACCTCCGGTTCTAATTATAAGAGCCAGTTGACTAATTTGAGAAGATTAAGGAAGTAAATTGAGTTAGTTATTTGTTCTAAATAGATGTTATCTTTCTTAAAATATCCTTACTAGTCAAGTGTATTGACTTGAACTATCATTGTTAGAAATGCTATTTTGGAAAAAAAAAATGTATAAATATGAGAGACAAAATAGATTGGGGTCTTTATTTATGATCAAAATAAAAATCAAATAGAGTATTATAGTAAGGACCGGAGGTAGTATTTTTATGTGTAAGAGAAATGAGATTCCGTTCAACACCTTTAATACGACAAAAAAGAGCTAGTATTGATTAGTAATTACCAAACCCAATTGTATAAGTATTTGCTTAGCTTGACCATTTGGATCCATCTGCTCTTTTGTCCTTTCTTTTCTCAATAATAATGCATTAATTGGCACCTTATTTGTGGTAGCCGCAAGTACTTCGACTTTTGTTGACCTAGAGAATATATTTGATCAGAATATACAGTAATCATAAAATCAAATCATAACCCGGTTAATTATTGTTTACTCATTTGTTACAGCTTTACGGTAAAGATAACCTTTTTTAATACAAATCCTAGCTCTTGATTAACAATTGTTATGTCGCTCGTGGCTAAAAACTTGGAAGCAAGATAATTATCTGCCACTATCCGACAAATTAAAGGAATTACTCTATCGAATGCTCTAATTGCTTCCCGACCTAAATTAAGAATCTCCATATGTGCTTGTAATTTTCTTACATCAAAACAAGGATGCATGCCTAAACATGTCCCGCAATATTATTGCAGTTACGTTACATAAACTATATATAAACGCACGTACATTGGATGTTAACCAGAATTTAAAAAAATGAACTTGAAATTGAAAGGCTTATTAGTTAACAGGTGGTGGCACAAATTCCGATATTTTGCATATCCTATGTCAATTAATTAATTAATCAATTGAAGAGCATAGTAAATCAGGCTTAAATACAATATTATAATAAACAAGTCATTTCAGTTAAATGAGCTGAAACCAATAATTTGTGAATTAAAAGTTCAATAATATGGGGACACTGTGTCTCCAGTTAACAAGCACTAGTGGGGGAATGGTGTTTTTCATTGATTAGACATGGATTATAGTTGTAAATAGGATTGATAAGAAATTATACATCTAACTAATCACAAAAAGGATGAGCATTTGCTGGAGGATTATATTCTTGTTGTGGGAATAATAGCTGTCCTGTGAGTACATGTTAAAGCAGCCAAAAAAGACAGAAAAAAAAAGGCAGATTCCCAAGAACATGAAATGGAGCAAAAGAAAATGCACTAGTTTAGTACATACAAGAGGATAATCTAAGAGGGATTAAGGGGACGAGAAAGGGAAGATTTTCTTGCCCTTTCCAGACTTGGAATTGTTTAAGGCTCTCAGGGGTTTGTTTGTCGAGAAATTATGAATATAATTATCATTAACAAAGGTTTTGCAAACTCATTCATAACTTAAATCACTTTCTTGTGTCCAGTATAAGCACCAACATGTAGACCTCACTTAGGCAAAATCAGGCCCCACACCCCCAACATAGCTAATAATGACACCCTAACCAAAGCCAGCCCTCATAATTAAATAAATATTAGTATGTAGATTACTTTTCTTTCTTTCTTTTTCTTGTTTGAGTGCACGAGTTGGATAAATAAACGGTCCTGATCAAATTGCAGTTTTGAAATTTTGAATAGAAGAGTGAAAATTGAGGGTAGGATATATAACCAATTTCTTAAATCCAGAAAGGATATTACAAAAGTAGCAGAATTTTCCTTATGACTGCTTAACATAGATGTATTTCTGATGAAATTTGAACTTGATACCACTTTTTATATGTTAGCTCATTCTCTTTCAACAATTAACCGAGACAATGAGATATTCCTATCTCTCCCAGCATCTTTTATTAATTAACTAGTAGATATTATAATACGCAGTGGAATTTTTTTTCTTAAGAAGGAAAAAAACGCTCTGATTGGAAGGGCTGCTGTAAAGTGCTTTTGAGCAAAAATTTTGGATATATATATATGTATAGGAGTGATTACAAGGCTAGCCTATTGATAACTATGGGCAGGGTTGATTGGACAAACGAGAGAGAAGCAAAGTATAGAATTATTAACATTGCATGGCCCTTAATTAGTGGAAGCCATTTTCTCCCCTCAATGAGGAATCGCTTTGTATCGTCCCATTTTTACTTGTTTCCCACTTTCTTTCATCATATCCAGCAACCAGCATATTAATATCCTTCCGGACAACAACATAACATATAGATGTGTGTGTATATACTCCTCTGATCCTTAATATAAGACTTATTTAATTAATTTAATTATATTAAAAAAGTTAAATAGATTAGTTAATTATAAAAAAATATGACATGTTTTTCTAAAACACCGTAATCATCTTTCTTAATATTCTCCCCCATCTTCTACTTGATTATGGTTGAAAAAACATCAATAGGGATAATTTAGAAAAAACTGATAAATATAAGAAATAATCATTATATTTAAAACTAAAACCAACTCAACAATTAGTTCCTTAAAGATAGGAGGAGTACACATATTCGTTTAGTAAGGATATGGTTCTACTGACTATTGTTAGGTAAACTAACTATGGTTGTCATGTAAATTAAATGTTGTTAGACGACCAAGAGACCCCGCCCTTGTGCAGTTATCGGTAGACTATTATTGTTATTACTACTACTACTATTATTTCTTCCTGTATCTGTTGGGTTTCCGTCACCATCGTGTATTTTGGTTAAAAGACTATATAGGGTTACCTTGTTTATGTTTCTCTGGTTTGACGCAGGTGATTTTGATTTTATATTTTTGTGTTTTGAATGTTTTTGCCTTTTAATTCGATATGTTGATTTTAAGATAATTCTCTCTCACACACACATACACACTCTCTCTCTCACTCATCATTTTGATAAAATAATTTAAGATAATTATTGTCTATGCTAAGGCATGATGGTGCGCATATTGTTCTGATATGCTGTGCTATCCAACTGATATTTTTCAATTTATAATGTTTATTGATCTATATTATAGACCATTGATTCAAAAACGGTTATGTGTAAACTCTCATTGGATTATATATATACTTTAACAACGATTGAGTAAATTATCACGCTTGCAGTCAAATAAGACTTTACTAACAGCTGAAAAATTGTTAAATTCTGTGAGGTGGTCTGTTATCATCAATGAATATTATTATAATTATAAAGTTAAAAAATTTAATCAGGATCCCATAAAACATTTAAGTTTAATGAAAATCCTGCGGTTAAAAAACTATATTTTTAATTAATTGTGTATAAGCTCAGACATTAACTTTGGCGTTTGTGCAGATTGAGCTTTTATAAGAAAATGGGTTATTGCAGGAGCAAAAAAACAATCATTTTAATGATTGGAGATTAAAAGAAATCATCCATGGCAGACCAATAATAAAAAATACATCTACTTGTCCTCGACTAAATTAATAATTAATCATAAATTATAATTCTCGCGCTGTTATGATAGATATAAATAAAAACAATCTCAGCTTTCCAAGAAAGTTTTTAAACTTGAAATAAAAATGTTTATTGACATTATATATTAGTTTTCCTCGCGAGAATCCTTATCATCGTTATTAAATTATTAATCTTCATCAAAAGTATGATGAGTCAGGTTGTAATGTATTATCTATGCACTCCAAATTCATGCCAGTGTGTGGAGTTACATTTTGAGTTTTTTTTAAAAGGATTTTTTTTTGGTCATAAAGGAAATGCAAGTGTTCAAAGTTAAGTAGCACTTAATTAAATAATTAAGGCCCATTGATATGTATTTTCTTAAAACGTTAAATTGATAAGGGAGCGACATTATGCACGTATTTTAGCCTTGAAGTTTTTGCTACGGAAGGTTAATTTCCAAATTTATATGTCTTTTATGAGTTAGCATAAAGTAGACATTAGTTCAACAATGGGTTATTGAATTAATGAAGAAGTAAGTTATATTAGCATAAACGAGGCTACGGAAAGTTGGTTAATTGTCAGCGTAATTAGATGTTTAATGTTTCTGTCCATTTGATGCAATTTATTATCCGTATTATTTTTTAATGAAGAATATCTTTTTCTTTTTCTGGTAAAAATGAAGAAGAGGCCCTTATTCCATCACTAGGCCATATATAAACCTTGTAGAATTCAAAACGACTTAACCCCACACACACACACAAAAACTGGTTCTTTCCACTGGGTAACTCTGTGTGTGTGTGTGTGTGTGTGTGTGTGTGTGTGTGTGTGTGTGTGATGACTCATGAGTGGATCAGCACAACAGTTACTGATTT